GCGTTCGTGACCTTCCACGTGGCCGACTGCACAGCGGACTGGTGAGAAGGCAGCGCTGTGGGCTCAGCAGGGCCCGCCTCGGCCGTGCCCAGCCCGGCCTTCATTTTCTCCTCCTCGCCGATGCCCACCCCAGTGGCCTCCAGCAGCTCGACGGCCTCCGCGAGCTTGGAGGCCTTAGCGCCCTGGGCTACGGCCGCCGCAAAGTGCGCGCGCCTCGGCATGCCGCCGCCGTGCACCCAGCCGCCGTCGCCCGCCCTCTCGAGGTCCACCACCTCCTCCTTGTTTCCGCCAGCCTTGTACTGGGCCGTGGCGCGAAGCCCGGCCTTAGCGGCAGCGCCATGCGGCTTGGGTAGAGGCGAGCCGTCCACGGCAGGGCCAGCCGCTCGCTCGACCGCCCTCTGACGCGTGAGGAGAGGCGCGCTCTTGCCGCAAGCCCTGCATGAAAGCCGGCTCGCCCAGTTCGCGCTCTCTCCGCAAGGGCAGCCCCGCTGCGGTGTCTTGAGCCCCAGCAGCACGACATCGGGAGAGCGCCACGGATGTACCCCACCACCTCCGTCGGCCCCACGCTGGCGGGCTGGCGGGCGGCGGGTACCCATGGCAGAACGTGTCCGAACTACACTGACCCCTGCAGATGGGCTGCTCGGAAGTACGCCTTCAGAAACTCCTCGGCAGCAGCCTTAGGAGCCAGAGCGGCTTTTGTCCTCCTCCTCCTCCGCCTCCTCCCTTCTTATCTCCTCGCCCTCCTCCTCCTCCTCCTCCTCCTCCTCCTCCTCCTCCTCCCCTTCCTGTTCCTCGCCCTCCTCCTCCTTCGCCTCCTCCTCCTCCTCCGTCTCATCCTCCTCCTTTTTCTCGTCCTCCTCCTCCTCCGCCTCCTCCTCCTCCGCCTCCCCTTTCTTCTCGTCCTCCTCCTCCTCCCCCTTTTCCTCCTCTTCCTCCTCCCTTCCTCCTCCTCCTCCCCTCCTCCTCCTCCTCCTCCTCCTTTTCCTCCTCCTCCTTTTCCTTCTCCCCCTCCCCCTTTTCCTCCTCCACCTCCTCTTCCTCCTCATCCTCCTTCTCCTCCTCCTCCTCCGCCTCCTCCTCCCTCTTCCTCCTCGTCCTCGTCTTCGTCCTCCTCCTCCTCCTCGATCCTCGTCCTCGTCCTTCTCCTTCGATGCTCGTCCTGCTGACTGGAAGTGGTCTCCCGCCCAACCCCCGCGCGCGGCCGGGGGGCGGCCTGGCGGGGCTCCGCGGCCGCGCGCTCAGGCGCTCCGCTCTCCCCCCGGGGGGGCGTGCGTCTGTCCGAGCGGCCGCGGCCCGCAGCGGCAGCCGCAGGCCACTCGCGGGCCATCGCCTCAGCGAGAGAAAACTCAGCCGCAGCACGAATCGTTTGTCGGGCGGGCATGTCCCTCTACAGGAGGAGAATTCGAAAATGAAAAATAGATGGTCCGGAGACGATTTTTCGACAATGTTTGACGATTGGTGAGTATTCTTGGGTTTTTTTAATGGAAAGTCTAGATGCTTCGCGTAACCACCAGCCCATGCAGAGACGATGCCCCGAGGATTTGCGTCGATCAGGGAAGTGGGCAGCACGCAGATGAAGGGTCCCTCTTGGGGCGCTCTTGGGGCCGTCTTGGGGCTCTCTTGGGCCTCTCTTGCGTCTTGCGGACCTCTTGGCGGTCCCGGGGCCCCTTGGAGCGTCTCGGGGAGCCTCTTGGGGCCTCTTGGGGGTCTCTGGGGAGCCTCTTGGAGGCCTCTTGGGCGCCTCTTCGGGCCTCCTGGGCGCTTCTTGGGGCCCTCTTGAGGCGCTCTTGGGAGCCTTGGGAGCGCTCTTGGGGCCCCCTTGGAGGGCATCGATCCACCAAGAGGGGAGCATGAATTAGCGTTGCCCCTCGGGAGCCCCAAAAGTCGCTTCTTGGGGCGCTCTTGGAGCGCTCTTGGACACTCTTGGGGCCGTCTTGGGGGCTCTCTTGGGCCTCTCTTGCGTCTTGGGGGCCTCTTGGCGGTCCCGGGGCCTCTTGGAGCGTCTCGGGGAGCCTCTTGGGGCCACTTGGGGGTCTCTGGGGAGCCTCTTGGAGGCCTCTTGGGCGCCTTTTGGGGCCTCCTGGGCGCTTCTTGGGGCCCTCTTGAGGCGCTCTTGGGAGCCTTGGGAGCGCTCTTGGGTTAGCGTTGCCCCTCGGGAGCCCCAAAAGTCGCCTCCTGGAGCGCTCTTAGGGCGCTCTTGGGGCCGTCTTGGGGCTCTCTTGAGCCTCTTTTGGGCCCTCTTTGCCAATCTTGAGGCCGTCTTGAGGTCTCGAATGGCCATCGGAAGCGAAAAGGCGAGGAAGCGAAAAGCACTTTCTCCTCCTAGGTTTTGGAAGGATGTTGCCCTCTTCGGGGCATCCTGGGGGAGCTCTTTGGCCACTTGGAGCCGTCTTTGAGCGGTCTTGGGGCCTCTTGGAGCATGTTGGGAGCCATCTTGAGGCATCTTGGGATATCTTGAGCCATCTTGGAGGTCGTTTGGGGCTCTTCAAGGCGCTCTTGGAGCCATCTTAATCAGTGCCCCCCCCTGGAGGCCAACATGTGGCCAAAACCTTTCTAAGCAAAATCAATGATTTTGGCATTCTCGCCGAGCCTCTTGGGGCCTCTTGGGGGTCTCTTGGGGGCCTCGTGGGGGCCTCTTGGGGCCTCCAGGGCACCTCTTGGGGCTCTCTTGGAGCGCCCTGGGGAGCCTTGGGGACCATTTTTGGGCCATCTTGGAGGACATCGATCAAAGAAGAGGGGAGCTTGAAAAAGCGGTGCCCCCCAAGGAGCCAAAATGTGGCCAAAACGTTTTTTTATATAAAACCAGTGAGATTGGTTTCCTCGCCGAGGCCGTTTTGACACCTCACGCCCGGCCCCGTCCAGGTCCAGGGGAGGGGGCAGGGGAAGGGGTACACCCTTCACCGAAGGGGAAGAGGGCAGATGGAAGACAAAACACCCTAGACCACCTACGCCCTAAAGGGCTGGTGGAATTTCCTCTACAATCCGCCTGTAGGAGGACATGCCCGACCGAACACTAAGAACACGATGACGCGGCCTCACTGAGGTCCCCTTCTTCGCCTCATCGAGAACCCTTCTCTCCTAACACTATCCAAGAAGAACAAACGCCATAGACCTATAATTTTACACTTTTGGCGCTCCCGGCGGATTTCTTGGATCCGCGCCGCGCTGGGGCCACCCTGGCGGCACCTCCGGCGCCGCCCCTGGCGCGCTTCGCGCGCCAGGGAGGGGGGTCCAGCGCAGATCTAAGCAATCCGCGCGGATCCCCGAAAGTTTATGTTTATGACGTTTTGTGTTCCTCTACGCGATTAACACGATGAAGACGCGGCCTCACTGACGTCACCGTCTTCGCATTAGGGACCATATCTGGGCGGTTTGGTCTGGTGCATTTGCAGAAACATCCTCCCTATCCCTGATGTTTCTGGCCCTCCTGACTTAGGTCCCCTCCCAGAGGATTTGGGTTTTTTGGGTGAATCATCTCCAGGAAGCAGTTTCGACGCTCCCGCTCGAACTTCAAGCAGCATCCGTCGAGCGAACGCAGTATCCGACGCGATCAGATCGGGGGCACCGATAGGGGGGGATAGGCATAGGGGAGGATACATCGGCCCCGAATCGCCCATTGATCGCCGATAAAAGGGCCCGATAGCCCCGACCCGCCCAGGAAGGTGCGGTTCCACTATCGGGGGCATATCGCCGATCTATCGACGATGTATCGCCCATTCACGGTCAATGCATCCCCCCCCTATGCCGGTTCCTTTTATAGTTGCCCCTCATCAGAAAGCATCGGACGAGCCGTGGCACGTCTTTGTGAGATTTTTCATGCAATCTGGCGACCACATCGGCTCGCCCACGAACGGGCGCGCATCCACCAATAAACGATGAGCGGCCGTTGGGTTCGCTCGATGTTTTCCGAGGGACTCCCACGAACTCTACGGCGAACCCCCCGGCCGGGGGCGATCCGCGGACGCCAGTGATCGGCACGGTGACTTCGGTGGCAAATCATGTGAGCCTGGTGTGCCCTCTGAATTGCGTCTTTGGCGTCGACCAGCGTCGATTAGCGCCTGGAGTCGAGGAGACAGCGCCGATCCAGCTTCGGCCAGCGTCGACTCAGCGTCGCTTTAGCGTCGATTCGCGTCGGTTCAGCGTCGAGCAGCGTCGATTCGCACGAGCCGACCAGACGGCGCGAAGACAGGCGCGCTTCGCGACGGGCGGCCGGGGCCGCGAAGGTGCCTGCCGTAAGGGCGGCGGCGCGAGGGCTCGCAGGTGCCGCACGCCGCGGGGTGCCGGCTCGCCAGGTCGGGTGGTCCGGGGAGAGGAGCAGCTGTTGCAGTGGGGGCCCACGCCAAGAGACACCCCGCTGGTCGCCAGGGTGCCCTGGGGCTCCATCGCTTGGGAAAGCGTGGCGCCCCCGCTCCAAAAAGCAACGGACTCCCTGGGGTCTCGGGGTTGGGCTCCTTCTGGAAGGTTCCGTGTGGTCGGGCCTCCATTCTAGTTTCTTCGAGCCTCCTCCAGGACGTGGGCCTTCCGCCGAGTTCTCTCCACGCTCTGTGGCGAGTGCGAAGCCCAAGGGGAATCCTTCCGAGGTTCTGCACAGGGAGCTCCCGGCCCTGCCCATCTGCCCCTGAGCTGGGCATGTCCCTCTACAGTCAGGAGGGAAAAAAACACACAGACGCAATTGATCGACGATACCCCAGAAAATATACGAAGATATTGGAAGTGGGGGGGAAGACAAAAGCCCAGAAAATACAGGAAAATATGGTGAATCCTGTTATCTGTGTCTATTTCTCGGTGTGTCCCAGGGCCCCTTCATACAGGAGGAACGTTCAGGAACAGCAGAAGATAGTCTGGGGACGACTTGTCCTGCTCTTGTGACGTTTCCGGAGGATCCATGGAGTGTCGACATTCTTCTTCCAAGACCCGCCTGTACGGGGGCACGCCCTGCCTAGCTACTCGCGCGTCGGACGTGGGCCCGAGCAGCGGCCGCGCGGCACCGCCGGCGCCAGGGATGGCGGCCCAGAACATGATGGCTGGCATGGACAGCCTGTCCCGCCCCTGCCGCGGCCCCCGTCGGAGGAGGAGGTGAGCTCACAGAAGGGGCCCTCGTTGAATCGAGACTCATTGGCTGACGCCGCACCGCCGACCCCTCGGGGCGGCAGTAAGAGCGAAAAGCAGAGTTTGCGGAACGAGTGCGATTTCTGTGGAACCTTGGGGTTTCAGCTTCCTGAGAGGTCGTCCAGGGCGGTTGGCGAATCGCGGCTCTGCTCTTTGGGCTTCCCTGGGCTCGTCTGGCAGCACTTTTGAGGCCTCTTGGGAGCCGTGTTGAGGCCTCCAGGGGCCTCGTTTGGGCCTCTCGTGGGCCTCTTTTGGGCCTCTCGTGGGCCTCGTGGGAGCCTCTTGGGGGCCTCTTGACGCCTCCTCAGATTTTTGTCGGGGCCGAGTGCTCGAAATGGCCATTCGGGTTCCCCCTTTGGGCCTCCTCTTGGTGAGGCCCTCAGTGAATGAAGATTGCTGGCTTGGGGAAATGCAAGTCCACGGCAGGTCGCCGCGCCACAATTTCCATCGTTGCGAGACAGGGTGTGTTGTTGTTATGTTCGTGATTGTGCGGTGCAGGTGATATAGCATCGTGGTTGGTGTGTGGATTCCTGAGCGTCGTATGTCGTGCCTTGGGCATGTCGGCTTGTTTAGTGCCTCGTGGTGTATGGTTGCCTGCTGCGCCTGTTGCACATGAATGTAGAGAAAGTGTGTATATATATTGATATATGTAGATACACGTATTCATATGTGTGTCAGCGTATTCGAAATTCGGCCGAGCGTCGTTGCCGAAATCCGGCCACCACGGACGTCCTGAAGTAGTAGCATGATTGGGGCATTGCCTATTACCCTGCCCACCATGCATGCTTCGCGTTCTTGAGTGCATTATCATATGTCAAAGTGCTGCGCGAAGAGACTCAAGTGACAATGATGGCAGCGCTGTGGCAATGATTCCACGATGACGGGTAGGTTGTGAAGACGATTTCTACGTAGCGTGATGATGTCCATGGCGGTGAATATGACGACGCGATGACGATAGGGACACGGAGAACGGCGTCGGTGACCATGGTAGGGTCATGAGGTCACGAGACGGTTCGCCGTGGTTGCCACCATAGTGGCGATGGCAACGGCGATGGCGACGGTACTTACTTGTCTCAACTAGCATTGCTGCATTTGCAGTGTCACTTGAGGTGCAAGACAGAACTGCAGCGCATGTTACGTTGTGGCAGCAGCTCGAGCAATGACATGTCCAACAGTCCGCTCGATGCACCGGGCTTGACTGCCCCTGACCCGGAGTTTCTAAACCTGGGTCTGGCGGTTTGCGTTTTCCCGTGAATCTACCGTATTTGTCGTGTACCTTGAGTTTCCGGGCTCATGCCTGAAGTCTCTCTCTCTCTCTCTCGCTCTCTGCTTCTTGCTGTTTCTTCGACGGCTCGACCTCTCGGCCGCCGCTTCGAGGTCGCAGAAGGACCAGGCTCAGGTGCTGGCCACGCTGAACGACATGCAGATGCAGGAGTCAGCCTCGGGGGACCCCCCCACACTATTGTTCAGCACAGTGGAAGGAGGGAGCGGTCTGCGGATCGATGACGCATCTGGCGAGTCGTTGCCGCCCTCTGTGGCCGCAGATCCTAGAAAAGGCAGATTGGCCCCACCACTGGCGTCAGAGCGTGGAGATGTTCGGCCAGCGAAGCTTCCCAAAAGCCAGACAACCAGAAAGCATGATTCGGACAGGCCTCTTGAGTCATTCTTGGGACCATCACGGGCCATGTTGGGGCACTCGTCGGGCTCTCTGGGGCCTTTTGGCGTCCTCCTGGGAGCTTGGTGGGGTTATCATCATCATCACTATCATCATCATCATCATCATCATCATCATCATCATCATCATCATCATCATCAGCAGCAGCAGCAGCAGCAGCATCAGCATCAGCATCAGCACCATCAGCATCATCATCATCATCATCATCATCATCATCAGCATCGTCATTACCGATACCCGAGCCGTCGCATCAGCATGCCTTCATCGAATGTATGTTCATCATCGCAGGATCTCCATCCTCCACTGTCAGAGTCGGAGTCAGCATAATCACCGGCATCCGACAGATGAGCAGCAGTTCTCCCCCCCGCACACACCTCAAAACAAATGTAGGCTTTCCGCAGAGACTAGGGATGGCACCGGACGCGCCTGCGACCCGCGGTTATGAAGAGTTACTTGTGTCATTCTGGGGTGAGGCCACGCGTCTGCCTCGGCGGATTTCATAGTCTCGCCGCCCCCGGCAGACGACTCCGTCCCTGCCAGGCTGTAAATAGACAGCTGGAGGCTTGGCACAAGTCCCTTCTTGGCGCTGCAGGGGGGCCCTCCCAACCTCCCAAAGAGGTCATGGGCCATGTGGAATGCGGAAGAGGGCCCCAAGTTGGTCCCAATTGCCCCAAGAGAGCCCCCAACGGACCCTTCCAAGGGACCCATTCGTGGTACTAGTGGCTTGTGTCGGCAAGAAGTCCTTTTTTGAAAGTTCTGTTAGGCGTTTTGAAGGGGTTTTGGGAGGGAATTCTCCATGGCCTCTAGAGGGCCCCACAGGTGTGTATAGCTCGAGCCTTCGTCTGCACATACCTGCGGGCACTCCTGGGTCCCACTTTTGGCCCCTCTGGGTTCCTTGGGTGCCTATCAGACACCCCGGGGACTAATGGGTTGCCTCAGGGGGGCCGTGACCATGCGCGGCGATGTGTTACCTCCCTGTTGTTTAGATTGCAGTTTGTGTCGGTCGCTGTCCTGCATTGATTGTTCGTTCATGTGCGCCGACCGCCGTCCGCTCCGCGAGTCTTGGTTCAGTACATGTGTTCCGTTTAGCGGACTTGTGATATGATCTGCCTACACCGTTTGTTCATTGCAATGACGTTTGCCGTCCAGAGCTGCGCCTACTAGGAGGCAGGTCTGAAGCATTGACTCTATGACTGTATGTGCCAGGTCGATGAACACGTACAACAATTTGGTCGAGAGGTGTTTCAACGAGTGCGTCACAAGTTTTCGCACAAAGGCAGGCGCCATGTTGCTCTGTATGAGGAGTCGATGATGAGGCCTTTTCGATGTCTCGCATCCTTGGGGAGTTGATCCATGATTCCGTACGTAGGATTCAGCAGCAGCCGGGTGACGTGAGCTGCGTGTGTGACAATTGTGTCGTCTTGTCGTGGTGCTTGTTGGAGTGAATATTGTGGGATTTGAGGGGGCATCATGGATAGGAGCAAAAGTCAGGACTTTCAGACGGCATGGCAACATGAAGCCAGTGTCCGGCCTGGTTTCGTCAGCCCCCCGTCCGTTTTCTGGCTTGCTTCTGTAGAGGAAAGACAGCAATCCTGTAGCCACGAACAGGATGAAGAGAGAACGGACATCGGGGCGAAGCAAACATCGGTGGCTTCGGGACTACGAGTCGCGCTGAGCCCGTATCCCTTGGCACGGCTTGCCTCAGACCTGGAGCGCAAGAGCGAGGTTGACAGCTGGGAGGGCCGACCCCCTGGGCACTCTTGGGGAGTTTCTGGTGGCCGCGAGCGCAGCCAGAGCGCTCTCGTCGGCCGCCAGGCTCAGCGCGAGGGCCCCCGAGCCCCAGAGGCTTTGATTTCAGGCAGCCTGCGGCGGGTCACTCGGCATACTCACAGGCAGGCCCCGTGCCAGACTCGGCCACGCGCAGAGGGGGGTAGGCGGAGGGGGGAAGGCTTCTTAGAAGCACCCCTGCTTCTTGCAAGGCGCGGGCCTTCTCTACACATGTAAGGCTGGCGCCTTCTAAGAAGCGGCCCCCTTCTAAGAAGCCTTCCCCCCTCCCCCTACCCCTCTCTGCGCGCCGCCAACAGACGCCAGTTTGACCTTCTTCCTCGGTGACGCGCTGGTCCTCCCCCTCCTCCCGTGGGTTCCCTAGCCCCTCCCCCATCCTTCTTCAGGGCACCGCCGTGCGGGCGCCCTGGGGTGTTGCGCAGCCTCCTGAGGCGCAGGGAGAGGGGAGACGACGCCCCCAAGCGGACCGCCCGGAGGGCCCGGCCGGCTGGGCCCCGCGGAGGCTCCTGGAGCTCTGGGTGGGCGGCCAAGAGGGGGGTGATGACTAGGCGGGGTGGATCCAATGGCGTGGGCCATGCTATTTCCTCCGATGTCACGGCGCCTCGTCTCGTTCCAGTACGTCTCTGCCCCCCCCCCCCCCGGGGCCGCGCACATGCCGCCGGCCAGGAATTGCACCCCCCCCCCCTTGGCCTTGGCATCGCCCGGACGTGTGCATTCTTCCTTCGGCGAGGACCGTCGAGGAGCATCCTTGATCATTTCGCGAAAAGGCCACGCACGAAGCGAACCGACCAAAAAACACAGGAAACGGACGTCCGAGCGATGGCCAGTGGCCGCCCCCCTCCTGGCCGCCCACGGCGCCTGGAGCTCCGGGCGGGCGGCGCCGGGAGGCGAGGGCGGCGCCCAGGAGGGAGGCCGAGGCCCCCCCGCAGAGCCGACGTTTGGCCGTTCCGTCGGCGTCGGTGGCGCAGGCCACGGCAACCATGAAGACGGGCCTGTCCCTCTACAGGAGGATCAGAGCCCCGAATCATCAGGGGTAACTCGGGTCAGGGCTAACTCGGGTTCGTTTTTCCGGATTCCGAACCCGATTTATCCCGGACCCGAGTTACCCCGGATAATTCGGGCGTCCAGAGCCCCAAAATCATCAGGGGTAACTCGGGTCAGGGCTAACTCGGGTTCGTTTTTCGGGAATCCAAACCCGAGTTACCCCGGACCCGAGTTACCCCGGATAACTCGGGCGCCCAAGAGGAGTGTTCAAGACAGCAAGAGAATGGTCAGGGGCCGATCTTTTGATTCGTTTGGGGGTATGCCTTGACTCGTTTTCTGTTATTTGTCGTCCGAAATCCGCCTGCAGGAGGACATGCCCGACCTAGGCCAACCATTTCGTTCGGGGGGACCGGAGTGGGTATGGAAGCGCAGGGCACAAAGTCCAACAGCAGTTCCAGTTCATTGTGAGCAGGACTCGCTGTCCGCGTCGCCGCGGACGCTGCCTACTCGAGACAGAGGGCCGCTTGCCCAACAGCAGCCGCTGTCGGTGTTGGACAGCATTTGTTGTTGGGCATCGTCCCCTCGTAAGCAGACCGAGCCTTGCAGTTTTGTCTATGTTGGCGGCCTGGGAGAACAAGTACCCATGCTGGCTGCTCGAGATTGGAGGATGCACGTCCCTGAAGCCGAGTCGACCAAAGATATTAGTGCCATCTCGTAGGGTGAGGCTTTCTGGCCCTTGTGGCAGGCGCTGGAAAGTAACGAGGAGCAGTGCGTCAAGCGATGCGTGCAGAAGTTCATGTCATTCAGCCAGCGAGTTGCGCAGCGATTTCAGGCCCCGGGTTGCTATCCTCCTCGCCGTCGTCATCCCCGTCTTTCTTGTCGCTCTCCTCGCTGACTGTCTCCCCATCCACCTTTTCGTGTTGGTCTCTCCGCTCCTTCTCGTTGTCTGTCTTCCTATCCCTTCATGCTCTGATCCTCCCGCTCGAATGTCCCTGCTGATCTGCAAGCGCATGTTGCGTGGCACATCTGAGCTTCGGATCAAGAACAGCGTATCAGAACAGCGTGGGAAAGCCATACCTCGTGTTTCAAGCCAGCAGGTGCTCGAATTAGCGAAGGCGCTGCTTCGCAAACGGGACTGGTGAAACCGTACACCACGACCTTGGGGGCGGCAAACAGCAGTGAGCGCGTCTAGAATTCGTTTGGCAGCATCTTCGAAGCGTACAGGGTGTGCACCGATCGAGAAAGGCGATTAAGCTAACTGGAGGAGAAGCTAGGACGCCCTGATCGAAAGCAGCGAGGCTGATGAAGTCTGGGAGCGGGTGATGTACGATGGTCCACGACATCACAGGCTGCGCAGGCCTGCCTGAGGCCCAGGAGAGAAGATTTCGCCGCGCGCTGTGGGGAGGACAGGTCTCGGGGTCGCTCGTCACCGACCCAAGTGTGTGCCGTTCGGCTCGGCCATCTACTCGTGGGCATGTCTGGCCATCCTTTTTGCCCACGGGGGTGCGAGGAAATATGACCGCCTTGTCGGTGGGACAGCCGGTCTTTACTCCAGACAGCACACTGTGCCGATCTGAGATGGGAGGAGGCGGAGCTCAAACGACGCAAAGATCGGGGCAAAATCGGATCGGGATAACTCGAAATCTCTGAGAATCGGCGGGTTTGGAGGATGTATTGGGCGCCGCGGCCGCTCCAGAGCGTTCTGGAACGCTCTGAGAGCGCTCCGGAACGCTCTGGAGCGATTTATCCCGATCCTAGCCCTGTTTTAACGGGCCCAGCTGGACGCTCGTCACGCGGTTCCTCTTTCCAGGGGCCGCTCGGAGTGATGTTCCTTCCAGTCCCACTTGTGCCCCCACCCCACCTCTGTTGGGGGGAGGGAGGAAGCGACACCAACACCACCAGGGGGCCACCTCCAGCGAGGAGGTCCACGCTGCCTCCCCGAGCTGGAGGCTTGGGATGTCTCGAGCGAGAAGGGGGGAGCACACCACCAGTGAGACCCCCCTTGCCTCCTCGCACCTCCTCGCCCTGGCGGTGTTGGTGTCGCCTTTCCTTGTTCCCACTTTGTGCCCCCCCCCCCGCAGGAAAAGCAGCAGCAGATGGGGCAGAAGATGTGAGCGCGCGGGCTTCGCTGCGCCCCCCCTCTGCTTCGGTCTCCTGGGGCGTGTGCTGTGGCATAGGCCCGTGCGAAGCCGTGCTCCCCTCGCGGAGGGAACGCCTCCTCTGCCGGGGAGCCGCTCACCTTCGCCCTCAGGTCTTGAGGGCTCGGAGGAGGAAAAAGGTACCCATACCTCTACCCCCTCGCCCGTGTTCCACTTTGTGGGCCTCCTGGGAGGCCCGCGTCGCCACCGCTGGATTCGCCTCGAAATCCTGTTCAGAACGCACCCCGGGAGAGGTCCTGGGGGTCGCGGTATCGGTGCCTTTTGGTTTCCCTGGCTCACCATCTCCCGAAGGTGCAGGGCCCCTGGACAAAAGATGCAGGGCCCAGACCAGGCTTTGTGTGAGCCCCAGAGACTGTCTCTGAGAGCCATGGGCCACGAAGTGGCGCAGGAGCAGGATCGTGTCGCCGAGTGGATCCATGAGGTTGTTTTTGTCCCTGCCAGTTCGGCTTGCTAACGCAGTCCATGTTGTCCGCCAGGAGGGCGTGGGTTGCCCGTTTTTGAATGTTAGCGCTGGTCACGTCGAGCTTGGCACGGCGATTCGGCACGCGCCAGATAGCGTGCAGTCAAATGTATCCCACATAGATGCTGGCACAACGGTGTGTGGCCGAGGATATTGCTGTGCACGGAAGTCGTATGCTTGGGTCACGGGCTTCGTATTCGTGTCTGGTTTCGTTTCCTCATTGGTATGTTTCTCTGGCTCGGCTTCCGATTCACGCATGCGGTCGTCGTGTAGTCGAGTTCGTGTTCGCACCGATGTCGCGTTCACATCTTACCTCCCATTCAGATCCGTGTGATCGTCAGTATTCGCACCAGTTGTCGTTTTCTTGTTGACTTGTTCGTGGTTGGTGTCGGTCGTGTCTTCGTGCTAGCATCCGTATGCGCAGTTGTTGTACGCGTTGCCGCTGTCGGTCACAGGGTCTGCGTGTGGTTGAGTGCTACGTATGCATATTCGAGTCATTGTTTGATTGTTCTTTGTGCGTTTTTGTTGGGCGGGGGTCCTGGAGCCCTTTTGGGCGCTTCTTTGGCCGTCCAGATGCTATGAAGACTGACTGATCGAAAAGGTGGCTATACCAAAATCATACCCACTTCCGAAGAGGACTGATGGTTCTGGCCTTAAGGAGTGTTTCTCGCAGCCTCTTGGGAATTCTCCGGGGCCCTCTTGGGAGCCCAAGTGGACGTGTATTGGAACCACATTCGGTCCGTTTGGGCAGTCTTGGTGGTCTCCTTGCGACGCCCTGGAGGCCCCTTGGGGCCGTCCTCGTCCTCAGTGGCCCATCCTGCCGCTCTTTCGAGCCGTTTCGGCGAAATCTCTAGGGGCTTCGCAAAGTCGTTGGGAGCCAAGATGTACAGTCGGGGCCCTGAAGAAGGAACCCTTTTCGTTGGGGAGGGGCTCCGTGTTCCTTAATTGTTTCGCAGCTTGCCTTGGATGTTCCTTAGGTTATTGGATATAAAATCGAAGTTCAACTTATGGAAAATAGGGGCCTCGTTCCTTATTCAGGGTTCCTTAGGTCAACGCCTCGACTGTAAGCCGAGACGGCCCAAGGCAGCCGCCCTACCGGAGTCGTGCCGAGGCGCCTGCCGCGAGGCCCTCCGCGAGGCCGGCGCTCGCTCCCCGCCGGAGCCCTGCGGGGGGAGCCCCTGAGGCGGGGGCCCACGCAGACGGGGGTCCGCCATAGCTCGGGCCGGACGACTGACAACCCACCCCCGACCCCCCGTCCCGACTCCCCGAATCGCAGATTCGGGGATGGGCGTCGGGTCTGGGGGGGTGGGGGTGGGTTTTCGCCCTCTCTCGGGTCGGGCGAAAGGGGGGGATTGGGAAAGGGGGGGCTACGAAATCTGCTGCATGCAGCTGGTGTCGGCCCCACTGAGGGGCCCATCCCTCGATACATGGGCGCCTCCCGGCGCCGGGAGGCGCCGGGAAGATCAGCTACGTGAGCTGATTCTCAAGCCCCCCCTTTTGCTATCCCCCCCTTTCGCCCGACCCGAAGAGCGCCGGATTTTGCAGGATCCTGCAGAGCCCGGGGCGCATTATTCCAAATCCCTTATGAATCGACCCCCCCCTAAAAAACCAGCCCCCCCCCTCCAAATGCGACCGAATATTCTGGTCCCCCCTCTTCGACGGCGCGCCTCAATAAACCGGGCCCCCTAAGCTCCAATCCAAAGGAAGCGACCTAATAATCCGTACCACCCCAGTTACGAAAAAAGGCGCCTTAAAAAACCGGACCCGGGGGACGATTAATAAGGGATTTTGGGTAACCCGGGCTTGCGCGCAGGATTTTGCAGGATCCCTGTAGGATTGTGCAAGGCCTGACCGACCCGGGTCTGCATTGACCTGGGTCAGTAGATCCCCGACGGCTTCGCGTATCAGGAGGGATTGGTCGAACGAGTCCCGAAGCAGCAGCCGTAAGGGGCCGCAGACTCTCCCAGTCGAAAGGTGGATGTCAACTGGTTTCGCACGCGCAGTCTGGAAGGCTTATCGTCGGTCGCCTTTGTTCCACAGGTCGCGTGCATTTTGGAGTGGGCGCGCGGCAGTGCGCTGAGCCAAGGGGCCAGAGGGGCTCGGAGGGGAAACCAGCAGGCAATATCAGCCGAGTATTTCAGATTCTTGTTCTTCGTAGCCTCCTCGCTCTTATATCCCGCTTGTGGCTGTCCCCGTGCATGAAGCGCGGGCACAGCATCCGTCGCGCACTTAGTGGTACTACGGTGCCCGGCGAGCCGGAACAAAAAGCCATGGCATCGCGCATCGCTTATCTGTCTGTGCCAGCCCGCCGAGGGTGCTTCGCATGCCGAGCCAGTTGCGAGTCCTTCTGATTACGGCGGACAGCTTGCCCCCAGAGCGCATGCATAGAGGGCGTGATTGCTAGGGCTTGGCATGCTCGCCCCCCGAAGCCATGGGCGTCCTGGGGCATATGTCGCCGAGCGTGTTCCACTACTTGCAAAGTGCCTACTCGCAAACGTCCGAAAGACCATACGTCTGCTTTTGTGTGATGCATCGTAAAAGCCCGCAGCGGATCCAGGCCATTTGCGAGTCGCTATCTTGCGAGTAGTGGAACGCGCTTGTCTAAGCTGGGAGGCAATTTTGGGACCTCCTGGAGCTTCAGGGGTTTGTCGCGGGAGCTCTTCCGACGCCCGGGAGACTCTGGGGAGCTTCGTGGTCGCCTGCTCTGGAGGGCTACGTCTCGGAGGCGGCTCGACATGTGCGAGGTCGGGTTTCTCCTCGCGGGGCGTCGTGGGGGCCTCGGGAGCCCTCTTCGGAGGCCTCTCGGGCCGTCTTGGAGCTCTCTTGGAACGCTTTGGTGTCGTCTGGGGAGCGTCCTGCGCCGGCTCGGGGCGGTTTCGGAGGTCTCTCCTTGGCTGTCCCGGGCGGCATAGGGAGCCCGAGAAGGTGGTGACTCGGGTCGGGCGAAAAGGGGGGGATAGCAAAGGGGGGGGTTGAGAATCAGCTTGCGTAGCTGATTTTCCCGGCGCCTCCTGGCGCCAGAGGCGGCCATGTATCGAGGAATGGGCCCCTCGGTGGGGCCGAAACCAGCTGCATGTAGCAGATTTCGTAACCCCCCCTTTCCCAATCCCCCCCTTTCGTCCGGCCCGAGTGACGCTGTCAAAAGCCACAACAAAGCAATGAAGAGTTCTCGGGGGCGATCTCGGGCGCTGCTGGGACCGTCTCGACATCATGTTCGGCAACATTGGTGAGTTCTTGGTCTGAAGCCGTGTGGCCTGCCCCCTGCTCGGCTCCCCCAGGGGGCACTCCTAGGGCGTTTTGGGAGCGCTGAGGGCCGCGCCCAGAAGTCGTGGCATTCCTGATGCCGACCCGGCCGGGACCTTGGGCAGGTACGTGTCGTCCAGGGGGCCCCCAAGGGCCGCCCCGCACGCGCGAACTAGAACTATCCTGACCTCGTACCGAGGATTTCAGCACGCCGTTGGCTCGCTGGGCCGAGTGGCAACGTGTCAGCAATATTGCTGCGGGTCCGTTACGCGGGCAGGCCGCGAAGAAGATGGGGCACCGTATTCCATAATGTGTTTGTTTGATTGGGTTTGGCGTGTTGCTTGATTCGTCATTCCATGTTTTTGTTTGTGTTGTTCGTTCCATTCTCAAGATGTCCATTCGTGTGGTTGGCGGTGGCACTTATCATGCGTGAGAGGCACCCAACAGGTCGGCGTCTCGGATTGCATGCCCGCGTGTCCCACAAGTTTCTCGAATTCCATGTGGTGCGCTCAAACTTGCTGCTGGCCTCCTTCCTTGTGTGGCCGCCTCCGCGGGCTGCACGGACCCATGCGCACAGGGTCCTCGCCCAAAGGGACCTCCGTGGGCGGCAGCCACCGCGTGGCCGGGACCGCCGACGACGTGGCTGGCTCCCCGGCGCTTCGGCGGGTGGCATTGGCGCGCGGTCGCAGTCCTGGACAGACGAGGCGGCTGGCTCCTTTTTTGCGAGCTGCGTGACGCATCCGATGGTTACGGGCTGACAGAGCATCCAGAGCGCAGAGGGGAATCTGCCATGCGGGCATCGGAAGTGCGCGCATGTCGGCGATGCGCTGCTCGATGTTCCCTCGCACCTGTCCCCTGCTGCTTCCTTTTCCCCCCCTCTCCCACAGCATCCCTCTTCAACGGTACACTTGATGTGCTCCGGTCCAGCTTGTCGCCGAGACTCGGACCAGCGGGAGGCTGGCGATTGTGGGAGGGAGGCGATAGTATCCTCGCAGGTGACGAGTTCGAGCAGGAGGAGTCTTGGGGGGGAAGAGATCACACAGGCCTGGTGACCCCAAAGGCGTCGGCAGATTACGTGCCGAGCACCCGCATCTCAGACTTCAGAGTGGACCCGCGCGACTGGTTGGAAATGCCGCGGTTCCAATTTTGTCGAGCTCATCTGGTGCCAGCCTCGACCGTACCAAGGTTTGCTGTCTTCGGGGCCAGCATTGGGGTGATGGCTCTGCAGACATGCCAGCGACATTGAGGGGCATATGTTGTTCATCAATATGCCTGCGCCAAATGCGCCTCCGTGCCATCGAAGCACGTTGTGTGACGACCTTTCGAGCACCGCCCAGACCGCGGTCACATGTGACTCCTCTCGCCTCCACTTCTGGAGGAGCTCTCGTCGGAACTATTCGGGCCGTCTTGTGTCTGTCTTGGGCTCAGTCCTGGAGTCCCCTTTCGTGTCGTCTTGGGTCCCTCTTGGGCCGCCTCGGCACCCTGTTGAGCCGTCTGCGAGCTCTCTTGGCCGTCTGGCGGGTCTCGAGGCCGTCTTGGGGCCTTCGTTGGCTTTCTCGAGTGTTTGTTAGGCCGTCCAGGGCCTGGGGCTCTTCCGGAGGCACTCTTGGGCCTGCCTGGGCTCTTTTTCGGGCCGTCCTTGGCCGATCACACTCCTTTGAGGGGCTCTTAGTGTATACCTTTCGGCCCTCGAAGACAGCAAGTGGACGGATGTCTAACCGAACAGCGTGAAATTTGATTGTGTGTTGGCCCCCTCGAACGCCTAGTGCAGAGCGTCTTGGGGGTATCCTGGGGCCTGTTGGATGCCTCTTGGTGCCTAGTAGGCGCTTCTGAAGCGGCTCTCTTGGGTACGTGTTGAGGCACTGTTGGGCCAGCTTGACGGCCTTGGTGGCCTTCTGCACCGTTCTAGAAGCTTCGGAGAGCCTCGGAGAGTCCTGGGGACGGGGAGGGGCCTTGGTGGCCTACAGAAACCCTACCAGACAGCATCTGGTATTCTATCACGCCTACACGTGCTAGGGTTTACAATGGCGTGTAGTTTTCAGGGTAGGAATGAGGGTGATTCCGAGATCTTCCAGTCGCTTGCACATGCATTTGTGTATTGCGCGAGACTCTCGGAACATGGCCGAACTTTCTGTAACTCACTAGCCTTTCGGGCATCCCTGAAAGAGCCCGCTCTGCTCGGGTATCCCCAAAGCTGTTCCTTCTGGGCTTCGGTCCGGGAGACGTTGAGAGCTGAGTGCGCCGATCGTCGACGCACCCCGCGACTGCCTGGTCTCCTCGGCTCCCGGCGAGGCAGCGCCAGCGCTGCCGCGGCCCTGCGACGGCGCACCCGTGCCGTCGGTGCCCTCGGCCGCCGGCGCTCCTGGCAGGCGGCGCTCGGCCTGCTGTGGGAGGCGGGCCGCGCGCCCGCGCCTCGGTGCCCCCGCGGCCTGCCGGAGAGCCCGCCGCCCCTGCCGGGGCCCACGGCGGAGGCCCATGTCGGGCCGAAACGAAAGGAGGGGGGATTGGGAAAGGGGGGGGTACTAAATTTGCTGCATGCAGCTGGTTTCGGCCTCACCAGGGGGCGCCGGGAAAAATTCAGCTACGTGAGCTGATTCTCACCCCCCCCCCTTTGCTATCCCCCCCTTTCGCCCGACCCGACCATGCGAGGACGCGCCCCGCGCATCGGAGGGGACCTCTCAAGCTTTCGCCCGGCCTGCGCAGTGTCCACAGGAGCAAGAGCGCAGCCGAGCACAGGCGAGCACACAGAACACTGCGGGCATGGCCATGCTTGCTGCCGCATGTCACGTCTTCATGAGAGCAAGAGCGCAGCTGAGCACAGGAGGGCGTGCAGGGAGCTGCGGAGCTCGGACATGCAGAAGCAAGGTGCGGCCGGCGCTGCAAAGGCCTAGGAGAGCAGTGCATTGACAGCGCGAGCACCAAATCTGCAAGAGGCCGTGGAGCCCCCGCGCCATGCCCACGAGCGTGGGTGCCCTGGGTTTTCTGGGTTTCGATGGCTCTGCTCTGGAAAGCGTGGCGCTCCCACACCCAAAGGTCCATGGACGTCCTGGGGTCTCAGGGTTGGGCTTCTCGTGCAAGGTTTCTTGCGGTTCAGCTCCTACAGTGGACGCCCATTCCAAGAAACGCCCCGCTTGCCTCCAGGCTGCCCTGCGTGTCCTGGGTTTCGATGGCCCTGCTCTGGAAAGCGTGTGACGCTCTCGCACCCAAAAGTCCATGGACGTCCTGGGGTCTCAGGGTTGGCTTCTCGTGGAAAGCTTCTTGTGGGCGAGCTCCTACAGTGGAGGCCAATGCCAAGAAACACCCTGCTTTCCTCCAGAGTGCCCCAAATTTCTTGGGTTTCGATGGTTTTGCAATGGAAAGCGTGACGCTCCCACACCAAACATCCATGAGCGTCATGAGGTCTCGGGGATTGGGCTTCCTGTGGAAGGCTTCTCGTGGGCGAGCTCCTGCTGCACTCTGCACAGGGAGGGGCTCGAGCACACCCAGAACGAGAGCTTGGCCACTCAGCCACGCGCAGAGGGGGGTGGGGGGAGGGGGGAGGGCTTCTTAGAGGCACCCCTGCTTCTTAGAAGGCGCGGGCCTTATCTACAGATGTAAGGCCGGCGCCTTCTGAGAAGCAGCCTGCTTCTAAGAAGCCCTCCCCCCTTCCCCCCACCCCCCTGTGCGCGCCGCCAAACCACGCACGCCCAGAGGGCCTGGGCCTCGGAGGTCCATTCGCTCCCCCGATCTGCGCCCTTTTGCGTCGGCCCCCCGAGCCGGGCCCACCGGGGGGCGGGAGTAAGGGGGGCGCAGCATCCTGGCAGCGGGGGCACCGGGGGCTGCAGTGGCCTCTCGGCGGCGAGCGAGGGGGGGAAGTGAGAAGAGGGGCGGACCTTCTCAAAAAGAAGTTACCCCCGGCCTTCGGAAGAGTTGTCTAAGCCTGCCCCGAGGACAGCTCATCATTTCTCAGAAGGCGCGCGGACTTCTGAGAAGTCCCGCCGCCTTCAGAGAAGGCGTTCTCCTTCTCATCCCCCCCCCTCGCTCGCCGCCGAGCCTCGCTTGGAACCGAGTCGTGCCTCGGTCGACGCCCGGCAGAGCGCGTCTGTCCTCGATCGTTCGTTCGCACGTTCTCTCGCTCCCTCGAGCAGCTCGGGTCCCGCGGTTCCAGCAAGGCGAGGCAGCAAACGGGCAGCATCCGGCCAAATTCCGCTCAAACACCCACGCTTTACGCTCCGATTCTCGCTGAGGTGGGCCAGTTCCCCCCCTTGATGGTGGCGGTACGTATACTTTCGGGGGAGCGTAAGACCCGGGTTTGCCAGGACTCGGGTTCGCCATCGTTTTTTGACGACCGCGACTCGGATTTTGACGAGGAGGAGTTTTGTGGGATGTCTGCAGCGGGAGGCCTCGTCAAAATGCAGGCTCGGCCTCGTCATTTTTTTGACGACCTCGTCGGGCCAACCCGAGTCCCCCGTACCCGGGTCTTACGTCTCCCCGATACTTCTATCGACACGTGTCGCAGCCGCACCACACCGCGCCACATGGTCCTTCGTGGTGCAGGGCGTGCGCGCGGACGCGAGCAAAGAGTTGGTCAGTGCGGAGGCGCGGAAGCGTGAACGGTTTCGATGCTCAGTATCGGAGAGCAGGCCTTTCGTGCTGTATACATTCAGGAGGGGAAAAAACACACAGACACAATTATTCGTCGACTCCCCAGAAAATATACGAAAATATGGGAATTGGGCGGGAAGACAAAAATCCAGAAAATATGGGAAAATATGGGGAATCATTTTATTTGTGTGTATTTATTTGTGTGTCCCAGGGCCCCTTCATACATGAACAACTTCGGAGTTCAAATCCGCTTCGTCTTGCAGCACGCGCCGCGATCGGAGTGTCGCAGAGCACAGAAGCGCTGCTCCCTGGCAGCACGAGATCGTGATGACGTGCTTCTGCCCCTGCCCTCTCCCCACTCCCACAGCCCCCCCTCCTTCACCCTCGGACTCCGTCTCCGCAGCCTCCCTCTCGGCCAGCACTGGACTGACCTCGTCCCGTGTGGGGACCCCCTCCTCTCCCGCGGTCGTGGGGGGGGAATGGGCCAGAGGGCGCCCTCACCCTTCGGGGTGCGGACGCAGGTCCACGGCTCGGTTCCTACTTCCCCTCTTCCTCCTCCGTGCACGCTGTGCTCGCCAAAACGTTTCAAAACGTTCGCCTTCCCGCCGGCGCCGCCGCGGTCTCCTCCCGCCGTCGCCGCCGCCGTCGATGTGGTCGTCGTCGTGGTCGTCGTCGTCGTCGTCGTCGTTGTCGTCGTTCGCCCCATAAATCTGCGCGTCCGCACTGTGCCTCCCGCTCTCGCCTCCCCCCTGCGTGCCCCGCCCCCTGCGCACGCGCGCGCGCGGCCGCCGGCGCTGGCCCTGCCCGCCCAGGGCCGCCGTTTGGGGAGGGGGGGACCAGGGAGACGGCCGCACGGGCTCCTGGCCGCAGGGGCGGAGACATCGTGGCGCCAACATCGCAGGGCGGATATTTCGCTCGGAAAACCATGGGATGGGCCCAGGTTGTCTTGTGTGGATTTGCCTTGGCAGCAAATCCACGCAAACATCGCTGCAGCCCGTCTGCAAGGTCGGTGCGGGAAGGAGACACGCCCGAGCGCGGTCGTCCACCTCGTCCACGCATCGCCGGCAGGAGCTCGATAGCCCCACCCCGCCGCCGGGGGCCCCTCGCCGAGGCCTCGGCGACACGCGCGTCGCCGACTCCCGGCCGATGATGTCCCCCCCTGATGTCCCCCCCCCTGTGGCAGTCCCCCCCCCTGTCGTTGCCCCTCGCCTCCTCCCCCTGCCTCGATCTGGCCAGGGGCACCTCGGACTGTGACCACCTCGGACTGTGACCCCCCTCTTCCTCCTCCTCCTCCTCCTCCTCCCCCTCCTCCCCCTCCTCCCCCTCCTCCCCCTCCTCCCCCTCCTCCCCCTCCTCCTCCCCCCCCCTCCTCCTCCTCCTCCTCCTTTTCCTCCTCCTCCTCCTCCTCCTCCTCCTCCTCCTCATTCCTCCTCCTCCTCCTCCTCCTCCTCCTCCTCCTCCTCCTCCTCCTCCTCCTCCTCCTCCTCCTCCTCCTCCTCCTCCTCCTCCTCCTCCTCCTCCTCCTCCTCCTCCTCCTCCTCCTCCTCCTCCTTCCTTTTCCCCTCTCCTCCTCCTCCTCCTCCTCCTCCTCTCCTCCTCCTCCTCCTCCTCCTCCTCCTCCTCCTCCTCCTCCTCCTCCTCCTCTCCTCCTCCTCCCTCCTCCTCCTCCTCCTCCTCCTCCTCCTCCTCTCCTCCTCCTCCCCCCGCCTCCCCCCCTGCCTCGGTCTGGCAAGGAGCACCTCTGGCCAGCTCGGTGGCGGCGCGGGAGGTGCGCGCGCGCGCCCCCGAGGCGGAGGGCCCAGGCGCCGCCGCGCTCGACGGCATCGCCTGCAGCGCCGGGGTGGCCGCGTGCGCCGCGGGCCGGCAGTGGGCGCTGTCGCTCGCGCTGCTGCGCGAGGCGGAGGAGGAGGAGGAGGAGGAGGAGGAGGAGGAGGAGGAGGAGGAGGAGGAGGAGGCCGTCCGCGCTGCTGCGCGAGGCGCGTGCGGCGGCCTGGGCCCCCGGGACGGTGGGCCGCGGCCACAGCCCGAGAGATCTCGGCGGCTTTAGGGGAACAAAAGGTGGCATAAACATCAAAATTCGGAGGTCCGCGCGGATTTCTCGGATCGGCGCTGGGGCCCCCCGGTGGCGCCTCTGGCGCCGCCCTTGGCGCGCTCCGCGCGCCAGGGAGGGGGGTCCAGCGCCGATCCGAGAAATCCGCGCGGACCTCCGAGTTTGTATGTTTATGTCACTTGTTGTTCCCCTAATCTCGGCGGCTTGGCCTTTTGGGTCGGCGGCGAGCGAGGGGGGGAAGCTCGGTATCGTTTATCCGATCCCCATCCCCATCCCCATCCCCTTTGAGACCCCCACCAAATTACCACCCCAGTTGGGGATACACCCCTCGAAACCCAAAGGGAACGGCCTATCTCCCCATCTAGGAGGGTAAATCGGCCAGTGAGGCCCAGGCCACGCCGCTGGGGATGGGGATCGGATAAACGATACTCAGGCTTGGCCTTTTTGGGTCGGCGGCGAGCGAGGGGGGGAAGCGAGACGGCGAGGAGGCCTTCCCTCGGAAGGCGGCAGAAGGCCTCTCAAAAGCTCTCGCGCCCTCCGAGGGTTTTTCTGTGTCTTCGGGGAGGGCCTGGAGAACTGCTCTCAGAAGGCTGGGGGATTTCGAGCCTTCTGAAGTGGGCCCGCCCCCTCTCACAAACCCCTGGGCGCGTCTAGTTTGGAAAGGATCAGGGGCAGCGTCAGGGGGGGGAGATAGGCTCAGGGTGGGAGTGCATCGCGCCCCAATCGCCCATTCGTCGCCGATGGAGGCCCGGTGGCCAGGCCCCGCCCAGGAGCGTGCGGATGGGCCATCGGGGGCACATCGCCGATCTGCCGGCGATGCACCGCCGTTTCCAGCTCGACGTTTCCCCTCCTGAGCCAGTCCTCCCCAATCAACGTTGCTGGTGGGCCAACTTTCCACCACCACTACCAGAGGTAGAACGGGGGAGAAGGGAGGATGGTCCTCCTCTTCCTCCTCCTCCTCCTCCTCATCCTCCTCCTCCCTGTGCTACCTATGGTAGTGGTATGGAAAATCGGCCCATCAGTTGCCCCTCGAAAAAGCGGGGGCCCATCCCTCAAGAAGCCCCTAGAGGCCTGTTGGGAGTGGAGCGCCACAGTCGCCCAGCCTCGAGAGCAGCGCCGCCCCACCCTGGGGCGCGAAAGCGTGACCGCCTCCAGATGTTCGATGTTCCAACCGGCTTTTGCCTTGACCACCAGAGAGAATTTCGAGCACCAAGCGAGTGCCGAGACTGGAGGGTTTTCAAGCGTCCGGGGAGGCGATACGCGCTCGACACTGTTTCGATACGCTTCCCGGTGCTCGAAATTATTTCCGGGATGTGGTCTTGAAGTGCGAAGTGAGCAACATAACCCCAGATCTACGCATGGGGCGTTTGGAGGGTTTTCGGGGTCCTGCTTCGAGCTCCTTGCGTGTGTGGATTTCATAGCCGCGCATGCCTACCTGGAGACCAATGCCCGCCATTGGGTCGTGTACGACTGTTGTGTCCGATCGGGCAGGGTCGACAATCGACACTGATCTTGTGGTGAAGTGTTTTCTGACCTTGCCGCTCCACAGCCAAGTGGGGCTCATGCTACATCTCGTGTGGGCACTTGGAGAGCCGGTGCAGGCGCAGACTGGCCATCTTGCGCGGTCGCCCACCCTGGTCGCTCTGCTAGACTCGAATCTGCCGCCGAGGCTACAACGCCGTCCTCGGCGCGTGCATGCACGCGTGGGCCAGCAACAGCGCGCCTGATGGCTGGGTGCGGTCGCGCACGCTGTGCCTGTTGGAGGATATGCGCTCCCTTGCGCTGGAGACCGACGCCGCTACCTACAACGCCGCCATCCAGGCGTGCGGGTCGCGCTGGCGGCTCGCGCTCTCCTTCCTAGTTTCTGGGGGTGGTTGGGCATGGGCGTCTGGCTGAGGTTTGGGAGACCCATGGAGGAAAAGCCACCCTGACCCGATATTTGGCGTTTACGAAACTGCCCGGGGCGTTTGCTGAACAGCCCTGCCCTGTTCGATTCCTTCTGCGGGTGCGTTTGCGAAATTGCTTCGCGTGTCGGGGAGGAGGAGGAGGAGGAGGAGGAGGAGGAGATTATTGTGGCGGTGGGCTTTCTGCCTCTCATACCTCAAGCGAGAAACCCCTCGCCACGCATGCCTCGGCACTGCCCCCCGCGGGCCGGCGCCGCGCAGCTCCCAGGAGAGCGAGGGCCCCACGGAGCCTCGGCGGCGCGGGGGCTTCTTGGACCCAGCGAGGCTGCCCCTCCGGTCCCGCTCGACCAGCTCATGCGGGAGTGGCCTTGTCGTGTGAGGGCTTTCTGCTTACCCCCCCCCCGAACTCGGAGGTTGACAGACTTCCTACCCTGACACGTCGATCAAGGAACTGGCCGTTTTCGGTTTGCGAGAGGACGTCGCGGCCGTTATTTTTGCGGGTCCAGGTCCGTCGGTTTCGTCTCCAGGCCGTTTTCATTTAGGGGAGGTTTGCTAAAGGGAGGTTGATCCACCGCCGACAAACGTGGACTAACCACCCAACGCAGCCCAGACCTCGGTGACACCGAGCCCGACCCGCGCGGAATGGGCGTGGTACTTGCGATCTGGCGGCACGCTTGTCTCGGAATGATGCACCGGCCTGCGCGTGGGCCACATCTCTGATGAAAGATGTTGCTGCCGCCTCGGCGCCAGCGGCATCCTTCATTGAGCGTAGGGAATCCTGGGGGGGTGATTTCACCGCCTGGGCTTCGCGGTTTCTCCGAGGCTGTGGCGGCTCGTGCTGGGCAGGATCTGGGTTCACGTTGGGGGAGCCGGAGCTCTCTGGTAAGGCACCGAGCTTCGGAGCTTCGCCAAGGGTTGGGGGAGCTTGCCTTTCCAACCCGCCGCCCCCCCCCTCCCGAATTCCCGCGACACGAGGAGCCCATAGACGACGGCTCCTGGCCCTCCCTGGCTTCGCAGCTGGGCCGCAGCCAGTGGGCTTCAAGCGGGGCCGGCAGCTCGGGAGGGAGGGAGGAGGAGGATGAGGAGAAGAAGGAGGGGGAGAAGGAGGAGGGGGAGGAGGAGGAGGAGGAGGAGAAGGAGGAGGAGGAGGAGGAGGAGGAGGAGGAGGAGGAGGAGGAGGAGGAGGAGGAGGAGGAGGAGGAGGAGAGGAGAGGAGGAGGGAGGAGGAGGAGGAGGAGGAGGAGGAGGAGGAGGAGGAGGAGGAGGAGGAGGAGGAGGAGGAGGGGGAGGAGGAGAGGAGGGGGAGGAGGAGGGAGGAGAGGAGGAGGGGAGGAGGAGGAGGAGGAGGAGGAGGAGGAGGAGGAGGAGTAGGAGTAGGAGTAGGAGTAGGAGGAGGAGGAGGAGGAGGAGGAAGAGGAGGAGGGGGAGGAGGAGGAGCGTGGTCGGGGCCGGGGCAGCAAGGGGGGTGGCGTTGGCTTGCCCAGGGCCTTGGCTCGGGCGTCGAGCTTCCAGGGGGGGGGTCCTTCCGGCCGGCCGTCCCCTGCGCAGCTCTTGAGGGCCGCCGGTTCCCAAATCCGGGAGTCCCAGCTAGAGTTAAGTCGGGCCTGTCCCTCTACAGGGGTCACAAATAGTACGATGTTTGTCAATGTTTGAGTATTTTCGGTGTAGTTTCCGTGTATCTTCTATTTTTCGCCCTGAGTCCGCCTGTAGGGGGACACGCCGGACCTAAAGCTAGAGTCGCGGGGCGCATCTGCGTCCGACCGCCTAAGCACCCCCAGGCGAGCGGAAATGGTCGGATGTCGATTGGAACCCGACGGCGTGAGCCGCACGGCAACGGTGAGTGCCTGCGAGCGAGCAGCGCAGTGGCGTTGGTCGCTGCAGTTGTTGGAGCTGCCAGTGGTTGGGATCGGCGCTGCGTCGATGGGCATCAACGCGGCGATCAGCGCCTGTGGTCGGAGCTGGCAGTGGGAGCAGGCGAGCCTTGGGTGAAAAGATTCCGACACCCCCAAATACGTACGGACTCGTGATGCGGTACTAGCGGTGTTCTTACTTGACCTCGCCCTTCTTCTTTGCACCCGCTCGATGATGCCAAGAATGATGACTTTGACTTCCGGAGAGTGTTTCCCCGAGGGATGCGAGGACAGTAAGTCGGGCATGCGCAGTATGGACGCCGTTGCCTGGCAAATTTTCGCTCGCCCAAGCTCTTGCAGAGCTCTCGAACGTTGACAGAAAGGAGTGTAGTTTTTGTTGTTGCGGGACACCCAGACAGCGTCCCATCGAGATGTTTACAAATGACCCCAAGCGTCATGGCGTCTCAAGACTACGGAGGTGCGTGTCTTGTGGTTTTTTCGCTTGCTGGCTTGGGATGTTCACGTCTGTCGATTCTGCCCTCCGCCCACCCTGCGTCTTCCCAGAGCGTGAACTACCTACCCCGCTTTCGCTTCCAGGCAAAACCAAGTCATACCACGCGCCTCCTCGTCAAGTGGCCTGACCAGTACAGGCCGCAGTTTGGCATCGTTTGGTATCTCTTGGAAGCGAGGGTGGTCAAAAGCGGGGTAGGTTTGTTTTCCCCCTATCTTCCTGAGGACCTCGCCTCCATGCCACCAGTCTGCTCCCGATGGTTGGCAGTCGCCATTTCGACCACCTGAGGAGGCCCACGGAGTGCCTCCCACGCGTGGGTCTAGCTTCAACTCGCCTGCGTGGCAATCCGACTGTCTCGGCATCGCTCGGACGTGTGCATTGTTTCTCGGCGGGAACCATCGGGGACCATTCTGGACCATCGAGCAACAAAAAGCACGCACGAAACCGACAAAAATGCACGGGAAACGGACTTCCGAGCGACGGCAAGTTGTGGAGTGTCGTTTTCTTGCTGGACCACTGGAGGCTCACGGAGTGCCTTTCGCGCGCGGATGGGACTTCGCCTCCCCGAATCAGACGTGAGTTGTCCGTCTTGCTTTGAGCCCCTGGGGATTCCCGAGTGGTCCCAGCACGCGGACATCGACCTCGTCTTCCAACATACACCGACCAAAGTGATGTTGACTTGTTCTGTGTCATTTGTTTGTTGCCCACGTTGTCCAGGGCCGTCTTGGACGTCTTGGAGCTAGATTGAGGCCTACGGATGCGTCCGTGGCGCGGTCTGGTCAGGTGTGCGCGAGCATGAGGGGGGAGTGGCCCCCGGAAGGTATGGTGGCGGAGTTTTACTACTCCATTATGTGCCAGGGGCGAACGGTAAGGCATTCGAGATTGGTAGAGGGGAGCGGGAAGAGGAGAGGGGAGGGGATGGGAGAAGAAGGGAGGGGAGGGGAGAAGGCGACCCCGAATGGATGCCGAAGATGTGTTGCATCGCGTTTCTTCGGTTTTGCCTTGGCGCTATGCTACCGAGTGCGATCACCAGGCAGTCGTTGCTCCCATGTTTGACTTCTGAGGGCCTCTGCCGCCGAGCCATATCACGCCTGAGTGTCCATCCGTCCGTTGCCGAGAAGCGCGAAGTCATGAGGGAGTTGGCAAAGTCATTGGTGGTGGTGAGCGCGGTACGATTCGCAGCTTAGTCAACGTAATGTGTGACCCCAGGCGTTGGCGCTGCTGGCGTCTGCGGAGGACCCAGACATTGTCGGTGCCCAGCCTTGAAGTTAGGATGCGGCAGAGGGGGTCCAGTTGGGAGACTGCTTTCTGCTGCAGGAGCACGGGAAGGGGAGCGGGACAGATGGGGCGAGACGGCTTCCAGCCTTGCGGGGCTTCTCTGGCGCTTCGGCTGGCGTGCTGGGACACTCGAGGCCCTGGGCTGGTCCTGTGGGCATCTTCACGGCAACCCTGGGGACCTCGGAGAGGCTCGGATGTCGTCCTGCTCGCCCCCACCTCTGGAGCGCTGGCCTTCGAGAGAGGACCTCAAATACTTCAACATAGGCCCTCGCCCCTCGTCGACGAGGAGGAGGAGGAGGAGGAGGAGAAGGAGGAGGAGGAGGAGGAGGAGGGGGAGGGGGAGGAGGAGGAGGTGGAGGGGGAGGAGGAGGAGGAGGAGGAGGAGGAGGAGGAGGTGGAGGTGGAGGAGGAGGAGGAGGAGGAGGAGGAGGAGGAGGAGGGGCAGGAGGCACGGCGGTGGAAGGAGCGGGCAGGGGGCCAAGGCCTGGGAGTCCCGTGCCAGTGGCTGGAGCTCAGCGCGAGCTCCCCGGCACTCCTTGGCGCGGACGCACCATGTTCACGAGATGCCCACCCCAACACCGTTCGATGTTCATGGGGTGGGGCACTGTGGGTGCAGCTTCATTCGGGTACAGTCGGGGCCCTGAAGAAGGAGCCCTTTTCGTTGGGGAGGGGCTCCGCGTTCCTGAAGTGTTTCGCAGCTTGCCTCAGGTTTTCCTTGGGTTTTCGATCGGAAATCGAAGGTTGACTTATGGAAAAACGGGGCCTCGTTACTTGTTTGGGGTTCCTTAGGTCAAGGCCCCGACGGTCGACACCGACACCAATATCTTAACGGGCGGAGAGCGGTGTACAATAAACTGTTCCGCCGTCGGGGGCGCCTCCCCCAAGGCGGCTGGGAAGTTCATACCCTTACGGTGGCACCGTAGGGGTATAAATTTTCCAGCCGCCCAGGGGAGGTGTCCCCGACGGCGAAAGGTTTGTTGTATACCGTTCGTCGCTCGCTGAACATCGGCGGTGTGCCTCCACCGAGGGAAGATTATCCTAGATCTCGGTGGTGGTGGTAATAGTTTGGCTTCCAAGGTGGCCGAAATGTTCCCACCAACACCGAGATCTAGGATCGTCTTCCCCCTGTGGAGGCACCCCCTGCGTCTGTGTTGGTGCCGATTTCCAGGTCTCCAACGTCCTGAAGGTCTTGTGAGTCCCACGTGCCACATACGGTGACCGGCCTGTCTTTCCATGGAGAGGCCCGCGCTGGGGCCCCCACAGTCAGCACGCGCCGGGAAGGGCAGGGGACGAGGCGACAAGCCTGGGACTACAGGTGATGGTGCTCGCGAGCCCCGGGGAGGCGGATAGCAGCGAGGGACTGCACAGTGAGCGGCCGCGGCTCGGCGCCACCGTTGAGTTGGATAGATGGCCCCTGGCTGAGACACCGGGCTCGCCCCCAGCCCCCCCCCCCCGGCCGCCAGTCTGCCTCCCCGTCCCTTCTCTGAGCCCCCTCTCTCCGACCGAGGTGCACTGGGTCACTCTTAACACATTGCAGCTGCCCAGGCAGAGTGGAGGTTTTAATTTTCCTGTCATTGACACCGTCAATTGGCTAATTATCCTATTCGATCCCATCCCCGACCTGCGTGCCACGAAGCCGCGGGTCTCCCTGGCTGGGCGCAGCCGATCCCCCCCTCCTCTTTCCCCGGACGAAAGAAGAAGCAGATGCGCGCAGCGACAAACGTGCACTCATAGCCAGCCCTTGATTCGGGCCGATGGGCTGCGAAGCCGCGGGTCTCCCTGGCCAGGCCCAGCCCGCACCCCCTTTCCCCAGATAAAGGAGAAGGAGTCGGTCCGACTGAGCGGAAGCCCTTCGTTACGACGATCAGTCTGGGTTGTTGCAAACGGGCAGCGGTCCCCGTCCAGCATCTTTGGAAGGCGCGTCTGATGCGTTGAAATGGGAGGCAGTAGACATAAACCGATTGATACAACATCTTGTCAGCTACATAGCTGCGTGGCACATCGAACCATGTGTTTCCCAATTGGCAAGTGTTGAGACGTTCGAAATTTGGGGCACTTGAATATTGCTGTGTATCAAGTAACTGCCATGCTGCTGTCCAACAAGATCGAAGCACGCGTCTCATCTCGTGAAGGATCATTGTTCATTGCGCATGCTGTGGAGCAACTCAGCAGCTGCTTGGCGCCGATCAAAGCGAAGAAGAGTCGGCCTGTTTCGGTTTGGGAGTTGTGCGCCCATCGAACGTGTGCAAAAAAGGCTTTGCGCAGCATTCCCGATCCCAGCGCTCTAGAGACCCGCCGCACTCGAGAGCGCTGCTGCTGCACCGTGGAGGCACGCGCCGCAGCGGACGCAGGCCTGGCCGCACCGCGCTCGGCCTGGGCCACGGCCTGGCGCGCCCCGCTGGTTCGTCGCATGCTTCCCCGACGCAGGGCTTCCATCCCCACTTTGAGGCTGGGACGCTGCCTTCGATGTAAACTTCCCCGCATGCCCCGGATAGCAAATCATGCCACGCTTGAGAGTTGGTGCTCCCCGGCCAGGACAGAGCTGGTCGGGGGGGAGGGGCGGCGAGGCCGGACTTTCTCATCGCGTGGGGAAAGCTACGAATCGAAGGTGCTATCTTCATATGCCGAGCAGCAACATCATCAAAGAAGTGTGGCATGGCAATCGTCGTCTTCTTCGTCGTTGTCGACTTGCCGGGACAAATTGTTTATAATCCCCCCTGGACCCCGAATTTTGTGTTAATCCACCAGGTGTTATTATCAGGGGTAGTTGGTTATGGTTGTCATGCCTGGACCCTGCCAGTCTCAGCTCGATTGTCATGGGGAGGGGGTCAACCTTCACGCCATGCTGGCCAAGTCTGGTGTCACAGAGGGAGAGGGAGAGAGACATGATTTTCCCCCCAGGGTTTCATACAAGCCGGCGGCTTGATAGGAGGAGGAGATCGGGAGCCTTGCGACGGGGGTCAATGCAAACGGGGTCAACCAGAGCGCCGGATTTGCAGGATCTTGCACAGCCAGGGTGGCATTGACCCGGGCTAGCGTGCAGGATCTTGCAATGCCTGACCGGCCCGTGTTTGGAGTGACCCGGATCAGCAGATCCCCGAGGAGAGGGAGAAGGAATGAGACGAGGAAGCACGAGAGAGGGCAGGGCACGAGAGATAGGGAAGGAGGGAGAGATGGCAGAGAGTCGGGGAGGCGAGGGGAGTGAGAGTGTGCTGCTTGTCGTGTGACGACGAGGGCGCGCCGAGGCACCAGCGCGGCCATCAGCGCATGCGGGCGGGCTGCGCACTGGCAGCTTGCCATCGCCATATTCGGAGGCCCTCTTGCCCGCCCTCGGACTCCGAGCCCTCTACTGTGTAGGTTCACGCGACGATGGCGCGCCGGCGACGCCGGCGAAGGCGTTCAGGGTTGATCTCCGCATGCTACCACGGCGCGGAAGCACTGAGGGTCACGGCAACACCACGGAACCCGACGGATTTCAACCTTGAAAGATCGGGGCCGCGATCTGTTCAAGGTAAAGCGATCAACGCAGTGTCAAAAACCTTGGCGCGCGTCGACGCCGCGCGAACCTGCCGTAATTCCCCGCCTGCTGCTTTTTGCCTGAAGCAGGGCGGGTCAGCAGGCAGATTTGTTCTGTTGCGATTGCAGGCAGTTGTGTCAACAGATACAGCACTGCGCGAGCTTCAGCGGGGCGGTGTGAACGTCCACGCCGGCCGTCGGTGGGCGGGGTTACGGCTATCCTCCCGAATCAACAACAGAGTAGCATGGGTGGCGTATCACAGGGGATATGTGTTTGTTTTCAGTATCGCCTTCTTCGAAGCGGAACGGCTTGTGCGTCTACTCTTGATAGGGGGAGGTGCTTGTCAAGGAATGGCCATGCAAGTTGTTCCTCCCAGTATGGCGCTGAGGTATACGGCCTCAGATATGGTGGATGGTGTTGTGTCGAGGTTGACGTTGGCACTTCTGCCCAGCCTTGGATTGAACACGCAGTGATGCGAGGCTCTAGCAAGCAAACAGTCACTGTGTGACTAAGAACACGATGTGGCCACCATCAACCAGCTCTTAGTCGCAAGGCAGGTGCCTTCTGAATACTGTGGTAGAGACCCAAGCAGCATTATGTCACTGGCACATGATTGGTTGCCGATGCAATTGGTTTGGCTGAGCTTACTCTGGGGGCTGGCCGGGAGCGCGCCAGGATATTCGTCTCACGTGCAGCGTCCTAGTTCGGAGGACGAATTCGGAGGACACCTGATTAACGGTGAAGGGATACAGAGCGTGGACGCTCGCAGATTCTGGAAGGAGTGCCAAGCCCTCCATCTGCTCAACTGCGGTGTGGGATCCTCTGATCGCTTTCGCTCTGGATGGGATCGCGGGCGAACCTGCCCACTCACCGACCGCGACGGACTCGTCGGGAGCCCCCGTGGGTCGGGCGCGCCGGGGCCAGAGGTGCGAGCCCTCCAAGGCGGGGGCGGGGCACGGTGGAGTCGGTTTTGGGGGGGCCAGTGGGCGGCAGGGGGTCCTCTTCTGGGATGAGGTCAGGTTGGAACTGGCCGGTCCAAGCCTGGTCAGGTCAGGCTGTGCAGTGGAAGCCCATGCCAGGAGACGCCCTGCTTGCCTTCAGGGTGCCCTGGGTTTCTTGGCTTTCGCTGGCTGTGCTGTGGAACTCGTGAAGTTCCCGCGCCAGAAATCGATGTACAGCCTGGTGGTCCAGGCTTGGGTTTCTCGTGGAAGGCGTCCTGTTGTCGAGCTCCTACTGCACTGGGCATCAGGTGGGAGTCGTCGGGCAGGGAGGCGTGGCGGGAGTTGGTGTTTCCTCTGCTCCCCTCCCTCGGGGAACCCTTTGGCCACGGGCCACTTCTGGGCTGCCCCCGGACGTCGGTCGGCCCCCCTCCGCCCCCCCCCCCAGTGTGGAGCGCCCGGCTCCCCTGCTCGTGCAGCCCACTCTCCATGGCCGGAAGAGGCGAGGTCGGAGGGGTTCCTCCAGTTGCGACCTGGGGGCGCCCGGCGCTGCGGGTTGCGCCGAGAGCATGTCGAGGCAGAGGAGTGGGAGGCCTCTGGAGATCCCTGGAGGCCTCCGCAGGAGGAGGGCGACGGCGGGATCGGACAGGAGTTGACGAATAGAACGACCACGACGACGCTGAAAACATGAGAGGGGGAGAAAGGTGACGGGGAGACGGGAGGAGAGGGAGAGTCGTGCTCCGTCAGATCCCCCAGCCCTCATCCCACTCTGCTGCATTCGGCGCAAGTCGTCGTCGTCGGACATGGTAGGGAGAAGGGGAAGAGGGGCATCATCCATCCAAGCGGCTCTCGCCTCGCGACTTCCGAGGCCCTGGTAGGGTGCGAGGTTCTCGCCGCCGCTTCCACCTTCAACACTTCGACTATGCTCAGGCTTCCTTCTATACCCATTGAACACGACGAATCGAGTTGCAGAATCGAACCAGGCGTGGTTTTGACGCAGTAATCTCTGACAGGCATGCAGATGGCTGCTGATGGTGTCGCGCTGGGCGCGGCGCTGAGTGCTTGTGCGGCCGGGGGCTGCTGGGAGGGCGCCTTGGCATTGCTCGCATCCTTCCGCGAGGACCCTTGCGGGCTGCAAAAGGTCGAATCCGATGATCTGAGGCCGGACGGTGGAGCAGGCCAGGCGGATAAGATTAGTACACATTCTTCGATTTGACCCTGGGAAGCCAGCAGCCCCCTCTTAATTATCTTGGCATCGCTCGGACGTGTGCATTTCTCCTTCGGCGAGCACAATCGAGGAGCATCCTTGATCACTTGGCGAAAAAAACACGCACGAAACAGACAAAAATCGGGAAGGGACGTCCGAGCGATAGCGAGTCATCAGAGGAGGCAGTAACGCTTCCTGCACCGAGTCCAGGGCTGAAGGCGGTATCCCCCTTGGGTGCCTACGGCTCTGGTCTCCGATTGGCTTCCTGGTCGTTCAACGACGGCTTCAGGAGTGAAAGAGGGGGGGGCCAGGAGGGAGGAGGGGAAAAAACACAGACACAATTAATCGTCGATTCCCCAGGAAATATGGGAAAATATGGGAAGTGGGGGGGAAGACAAAAACCCAGAAAATATAGGAAGATATGGGGAATCATTTTGATGTGTGTGTATTTATTTGTGTGTTTGTGGGCCCCTTCAAAGAGGGAGGCGGGGGGGCGCCTCGTTTGCACAATTTTCAGGATGCCGCGCAATCCAGATAGGCAGAGGAGCGATTGTGCCCCGCGTTCCGCACGCCAGGCGCGGAAGTTCGGCGCATCAGTTTCGAAGGAAGCGTTCGTCGTTTTGTTGCTTGTGCACATTTCGTTTCGGTTTCGTTGTCAACGTCAGCATTGACGCTCGAGAGATGTACGATCATGACGCTCGGGTAGAAACATTTCGGCGGATTAATTTCTAGACGCACAGGGTGCGCGACATTGTCCGAATCATCCTTGATGAGTTTTGAAACCGAATAGGCCTGACATTGATGATGTCGCCGTGCGTTCGCATGACTTGTTTGTTCACGCATACGCCCAGAGCCTTGAGGCGGGGGTACGCGTGGTGTGGATCCTCCGGGTGTTTTCTGACAGCGGATGGAGGTCTGCGGCGATCACATGGTGAAGTTTTGTGTGTTGGCCGTGCACTCGGAGTCTCTTGACGGCACGTACTTTTTCCCGTGCAACCGTTTCAGGATGCGAACGGGACGCGATGATTTCGCAAGCGAATCTTGTCTGAAGCGGGTAGCGGAACGGTTTTCGAGATGCGAAACGCAGGGCCCGATGCGGCGTTCAGGGAATTGATAAATGCAATCGTTCAGGGCGGACAGTCTGCCGCAGCCCCATTTAGCGTATGTGTTGCCGTCTTGCAGACCGCGTTCTCTCGGTTGAATTCTGCATCGCACACGCTACCGAATACTTCCGCCCAGATGACTCTAAAGTGTTATTGGGATGTCAGATGCAACATCGAGGACTTACAATTCCGTGCCAGGGGCAGGGATCAGTGTTGTTGTAATATGTCCCGATTATGTATGTTAGGTTCCTCAAGTGATCCGACGATGTCTCCATGATGCGACCCCCGATTAGTCTGTTTTGTTTGCATTCCCAACCTCGCATCGTCTCGTCTGTCCACTCCTCTGCCTCCCCATCCCTAGCCCCTTCGTCTCTCCCCATACCCTCCCATACGCTGCCACTCACCATCCCCAACCTCCAGGTCTCGCCCCCGTTTCCTTCCCATTCCGCGTCGCTCCCTTCTATTCGCTCACTTCATCTGTATCTGCTTGCAGGCGCGAAACCCGAATTGAGCACGCGAGTGTGGGGCCCGTTTCGCCCTCTTTCACGCTACCTTCACCATCCCCCAGCATCTTCAGGAGGATTCGTGTCCCACGTGTCAATACACTCGCGATGCGCTTCTTGCTACGGCCAAGGGTAGCCCACCCTCGTCTGTCGGAAGTGGGTTCGCAATTCGCTGCCATGGGTGGTTCATACATGCAGTCAACCCGCGTAGTCAGGATGAGCGACTTTCCAAGGTTGCCCTTGAGTCCTCGCCCTCTCGGCCCATCCTCAGCAACTTTCGCTGGCCGACCTCGTTCGAAAGACGTTAACATGGAAGGCCTTTGCATCCTTACCGCGCATCCTAATTCTATGGGTTCATTGCGTTTTGTTATGGTGCGGGTGTGGGCAAGCAGCTCTTCAAGAAACCCCTCACCCACTTGAACCCGCCCGCCTCTCCTCGTCCTCCTCCTCCTCCTCCTCCTCCTCCTCCTCCTCCTTCTCCTCCTCCTCCCCCTCCTCCTCCTCCTCCTCTTCCTCCTCCTCCTCCTCCTCCTCCTCCTCCTCCTCTTGCCCTCCGCTCCACCCCGAGGACGGCGCGGCCCCCAGCGAGGTGGCGCTCGGCGCCGCGCTGGCGGCATGCCTGACTGCGGCAGCGTGGCGAGCGGCTCTCTGGCAGGAAGAACTGGGGACGGCGAGGGGGTGGGCAGGCGAGGAGGAGGAGGAGGACGACGACGAAGAGGACGAGGAGGAGGAGGAGGAGGAGGAGAAGGAGCAGGAGGAGGAGGAGGAGGAGGAAGAGTCAGAGGAGGAGGAGGAGGAGGAGGAGGAGGAGGAGGAAGAGGACGAGGACGAGGACGAGGAGGAGGAGCAGGAGTCGGAGAAGGGCCAGGCCGCCGAGCCAGGTTCAGAGGCAGCAGAGTGAGCGAGAGAAGGTCGGGGGGAAGGAGGAGGAGGAGAAGAGACAGGGGAAGAGAACGAGGATCTCCGAAAGGGAGAGTGCCCCGACTGGGCTCATCGTGTTGGAGGCAGCGGAAGTGCTCCATGTGGCTTGATGCGGACATTTGGTGATTATCAGAACGTTTCTACAGTGATGTTCGATCCCCCAGAGCACAGCTTGCTTGCTGTCCTTTCCCCAGTGGGGCTCATAATTGCACTGGTTTGAGCGGCCGAGGCAGGGAGGCAGGCCCGAGTAGAAAGCCAGGGCTTGCGAGCGCTTACGTATCTCCATCGCCAGAGCATGCCCACAGCCAATGTTCCAGGGAGCAGTGGCTACAGATACCTGCCCGCCTCCTCCTCCTCCTCCTCCTCCTCCTCCTCTTCCTCCTCCTCTGTGTTCTCCTCCTCCTCCTCCTCCTCCTCCTCCTCCTCCTCCTTCGTGTCTGTATTGCCGCATCATGTTCCTCGTCCTCCTCCGTCGTGCCAGCAGGGTGCCCGCCGCTGCGGGTGGGAGAACGACCAGATGCACCGATCCCAGGGACCTTAGGCTTGAACTCCAGAAGCTGTGGGCAGGGATGTGCCTCCCTGGTGGTACACTCGTCCGCCTGCCCGTGCCAACCTGTGTGGTCCCTGGCTGCCGAGCCCCGCGAGTCGCCGGGCTCTCCCGGCGCTGCTACTGGCCACGGCGAGCCCCCCGTGTCTCTCGACTAGACGTAAGAGTGACCTTTCGCCGGAGTGGCCTTTGGTGCGGGCACGGATGGGTACCCAGATGGCTGAAAACGAAGCAGCAGCAGCTGCTTGCGCACCCAGGTTTGGTCCCGCCGCGGCCCCCAAAAAGTCGCGCACCAAAGGTCACTCTTACCCAGGGTCACTCTCGCCTATAGCCGAGGGGTCACTCTCTGGCTACCCGCATCTCGATGACGTTGAAACGGGGCGGATGGCCGACAGCAGCTCCAGTCCATTTCGGGCAGGGTTCGCTGCGGGCGGCAGGGCGAGGGCCCCCCTGCACACGAGCGGACCTCTCGGTGCACGGAGTTGTCTCGCCAGACTGGGAAGAGCTCTGGGGGACCAGTTCTGGGAGGAGCCCGTTCCTCCCACGCCCACCCAGTGGGAGCAATCTTTTGCGCGTGCCACTGGGCAGTTGGCTTCCGCAGCCCCGCAGAGGCGGGGATCGCCTGGGCGTGGGGTGTGGGGAGAAGCAAGAGGAGGCGTGGGGGAGTGATAGGACATGCCAGGATGGTTGAGTTCAGATTTCTGTCCGCACTTCAGACTCTGCCCTTTGGATGGTTCGGAATTCCCCCTCGTCGCCGTCATCCGCCGCTTCTTGGGGCCATCCTGGGGCCGTCAAGGGCTCACATTGCGGTCACGGGGTCGAGTGTCAGACTGCAGTGGCGCGAGGAGGACGAGGGGGGGACGAGGGAAAGGCGCGGGATGATCGGGAGGGGGAGGAGCGTGAGACGGAATAGGAGCCTGAGTCTCGTGGCGCTCTCCCATCCTCCTCTTCCTCTTCCATTTCTTGTCCTTATATATAACTTCTCTCTGTCGCATGCCGAGGCCAGCTTTTAGGGCGGGGCGGGCGTTTCGCCTGAGACTTTCTCACCACTTATGGCTCTGAAGCTTAAAAGTGAACAGCTTCACAGAAGGAGGGCGGGTGGTTTTCTCAATGTGACTCGCCTCAGCGCCGCGCACATTCGTTTGTTTTTGTCATTTACAAGAGCTTCACGGATTGAGGGCGGGTGGTTCTGAACATGTGTTTCTTGCCTTAGCGCCGCGCACATTCGCTTTTTTTGAATTTGCAAGAGTTTCACGGATTGAGGGCGGGTGGTTTTCAAAATGCGGTTCTCGCCTTAGCGCCGCGCACATTCGTTTTAAAATTTACAAGAGTTTCACGGGTTGAGGGCGAGTGGTTTTCAACATGTGGTTCTCGCTTCAGCGCCGCGCACACTCGTTTTAAACATTCGCAAGAGTTTCACGGGCTGAGGCCCGGGTGTTTTCAAAATGTGGTTCTCGCCTTAGCGCCGCGCACATTCATGTTTTCAAACATGTAAGAGTTTAGCGGGTTCCCATGACCAACGTACCAGAAATGACGTTTCGGAAGGATTCAGGACCATTCGGGCGCAACAGTTATGATGATTCGCTGCGTTGACGTCCCAAAAACGGCGTTTTGACACGATTCTGGATCGTCAAGACGCAGCAGTCAGGTTGATACGTGGCGTTGAAATCCCGAGAACAATATTTTGGCACGCTTCAGGATCTTCCAACTGATGTCTTCCAACGAGGCAGTTTCTTCAATGGACATGAACCGTTGCAGGGGCCTACGAAGAGGGGCCTTGGAGGGAGGATTCATTCCAGCATCGTTTGTGGCTCTTGGGTTTCCAATGGTCCTCATCCTCATCCTCTTCCTCCTCCTCCTCCTCCTCCTCCTCCTCCTCCTCCTCCTCTTCGGGGCAAACTTATGCGTCGTTTGCTTTCGGTTCTGCTCAGTGCGGCAGTGCATAGGCGAGCCCCCAAGGCGTCCCCGAACGGGGGTCTCGTTTTTGCCAGTGGTATCCCCCTGCAGGGCCCCATAGACTTCCGAGCCCCTTAAGTGGTTCTCGAACGCCCGATCCGTTTTTAGTTCCCAGTGGCCTGCAGGGTGGCCGTCCTGGGCTCAGCGTACCATCGGATCATCGGCGCTGCTCTGCTCTGCTCTCCTCCTCTTCCGCCTCCTCCAGCCGCCCACGCCGCCAAGACGCCCCCAGGCTCTGGAGACCGTGGGCGCGCTGCAACGCCCAGGGGCGATGAGCGCCGGGTTCGTGGCAGGCGCAGCCCCCCGCCTCTGCAAGTGCAGCGGGGGGACCCCCTGCCAAGAAACACCCTGCTTGCCTCCAGAGCGCGCCCTGGGTTTCTCGGGTTTCGATGGTTTTGTTATCGACGGCGTGGCGTGCCCACCTTCCATTTCTTGTGGGAGGTTTCCTGTGGGCGGGCCTCCATTGTACACCCCTCTGTTCGGATGCAGCTCCTGGGAGGCCAAGTTCAGCATCTGCGCCTGTAGATCCGCTGTCGAAGACCAGGCTGGTGTGGCATGATACCGGGGAATCCTTTCGGGATTAGTTTGGTGCCGCCGACGTGCTCGTCGTTTTCAGTGTTCACGAACTGCGTTCATCAGTTACAACGTAAAAACGGTCATTGATGTTTACGCCTATCTGAATGTGTGGCCAAGCTAATGGATTATGTGTCCCCCCCGACATTGTGGAAACCTTTTGGGGAACACATGGGGGAGGAAGAGAGGAGACAATTGAGAAGAATGAAAGGAGCGGGAGGAGGAGGAGGAGGAGGAGGAGGAGGGGGAGGAGGAGAAAGAGGTATCGTTGGGGCCATCTTGGGGCCTCCTGGGGGCTTCCTGCAATGTGGGGGCTTCTGAAGAGCATCTTGGGGGCCTCGAAGGTACATCTTGGCCGTGAAAGGCCATCTTCGGGACCTTACTGGGCCGTATGAGTCTCCTTGGGGGCTTTAGGGCCGCGTTGGGGGTATCTTGGGAGCCTCTTGGGCCATCTTGGGCTGCTGGAAGCCTGGAAAGGCCCGAAGGTAAAAGCCACGGCATAAACAATAGGAAAACAATGAATATGCTACATGTTTGGGCCCTCCTGGATGGCCCCTTGAGGCCCATTGAGCCGCATCGGGTACCTCATAAACCATGTTGAAGCCATGTTGAAAGGCCTTATTGGGCCGTCCTGTGGGCCTTTGGGGAGTCTCTCGCGCCATCGTGGGGCGATCTTGGGAGGCCTATGGGGCCGTCTTGGAAAGTCGGAAGCCCGAAAAGGCGAGAACGCTAAAATCAGCGAGACGCACATGGGACATACGTAGATAGTTCTAGCCTCCTGAAGGTCCTGTTGGGGCCTTCTGGGGGCGCCATGGGTTCCTCTTGGGCCGTCTGGAGGGCATGTTAGGCCGTTGTGGAGGCGTCTTGGGACCATCGTAGGCCCTCTCTTGGGACACTGTTGGCCATCTTGGGGGCATCTTGGAGGCCATCTTGGAACAATCATGGCAGTATTACAGGCGAGTTCCAGTTTCTTGCTTCCTTGCGCTTCCTTGCGCGCCCTTCCGCGTGGCTGGCGCATCAGGCCGACGGCCACCAGGAACATTTAAGGAAGACGAAGCACTACCTGACGTCTGGCACGCCGTGCACCCATGTGGTGAGCCAACAGGGGGCGGCGGATTTAGTTGATTTCGGCCTATCCCGCCACCGTGGGTGGGTCGTGGGTCGAAGGGCTCTTGGATGCATATTGGGCCTCCCAGATGTATAGTTTAGGCTTCTTGGGGTCTCTGAGGCGTTTCTTGGGGGCCTGCTGGCGGTTTCGGGGGTCATCTTCTGGCGGAGGGCTCGACACGTCAGTTCGAGTTCCCCTTGTTGGGCGCGTCTAGGCGCCATCTTAGGGGCCTCTTCAGCCCTCCTGGGGGCCAGCTACTGGGAACCAAGGCGAACCCCATGTACGCGATGAGGCGCATTGCGCCACGCGTGCCAGGCGCTTCAGGTGCGCCAGCCATCCCGGGGGCCTAAGCGTGCCCCTCGCGCACCAGATGCGACACGTGCTACACGCACGCCACGAGCGCCGCGCGGCCAAGCCGCGCCAGGTGCGCCCGCGCACGTGTCTGCACGCATCGGGGAACCTGTCGGCCCACCGTCCTTGTCGAACACAAGTGCACAATCGCGGCGGGGAGGCCATCGCGGTGTCTGGTGGGCCTGCGCACAGTAGGCGATGTGCCAGCAACCCCGCGGTCCCTGCCGAACACCAATGGACGGCGATCGCAGGGTGGCCGCGCATGATCCAGATGTAGCCGCGAAGTGCATGGTGCATTGTTTTTGACCGAGATGGCGGTCTTGCGCGACGCTGGCAACATGATGGCGTCCCCGCCGCCGCGGTCAAAAGCAAAAATGCAAAGCGTCCGCGGGGGCCGGCGCGTCCCCTGCAGAGGAAGAGGGAGGTTCGAAGAGGAAAGTATTAAAACACTCACACCCTGAAGGGCTGGGGGAAGTCACCTTACAACCAACTGCGCCACCACCGAGCAGCCCGCCGCGCCGCGCAACCACCGCGCACCGAGGATATCACCAGCGAACCCAACGCGCAAACAACCGCGCAACCAGGAAACACACCACGCACACGCACATATATATATATATATATATATGTATATATAGGTCTCCGCGCGCACGGCGTCCCAAGCGCATGGACGCCACGCGCAGTGCGCCCCATGCGCCGGGGGCTCGACGCAGAGTCCTCGCGCGCGTGGCCCCCGCGCGGGGACTCCCACATAGGGCCCCGCGCGCGCGGGGCCCCGCACGCCGGGTTCCGCGCGCGCGCAAAACGGAGGGGTTGCCGCTGGCCCGCGGCAGCAAGCGCACGAGGAAGGCCCCCCGCGTGCTCGCATCGACGCGGCGCTCGGGCGGCAAGGCGCCTGGCGAGGTCGAAGGCGGCACGAGGCCAACGCCCAGAGGAAGAGCCACGGCGCGATCTTGCGCTCGCGGCGCGCGCGACAACGCCGGCCGGCGCGAGACGCGCAGGGGCCCCAGTAGAAATGCTCCGCGCGCGCCCCGACCGTTCGCTGACGCCGCGCGGGAAACGCAAGGAGAGCAGTCGGACCCCTGCTTTCGCGTTGGAGTTAAAGCAGCTCAAGCGGAACACCCCGGCGGCGGCGGCAGAGGAAGCACCCGCGCTTGGCCGAGCGAGCTCGACGAGCCCATCGAGACCCAGAGAGCGGCGGGCGTCAGCTCCGGCCACGATTCGCCCATGACCACGGGCTGCAGGCCAATCTCGACCACGTCTGAGCGTCGCGAGATGCTGCTAGGCTAGCGGGGGCGCAGCTGCGCGAGGCCATGAAGAAGCACGAGCAGTCGCTCGAGCACTTGGAGCATATTCTCGCAGAGGAGAGCAATATCCAGGACGGCGCCCAGCGGGTTTTGCAAGACGTAGCGCACGGCCGCGCCCGAGGCGTCTGCGCGGGCGGCCGCGGTCGCCCCGCAGGCCGGCGCGCGCGCGCCCGCGCGGGCCGGGCCGCGCCGAGAAGCCTCGGGTCCGCAGACGTCGCGGCGGCCTTCCTGGACGCGCAGCGCAAGGGCAATGGCCGCGGAGCCCCTGGCCCCGAAGTCAAATTCCGCGGGAAGTCGGGGGGCGACGCCGCCCAGCGGGAGCTGCGGGCGGCAGCGGTCGCAGTTGCCGCGGCCGCCGCGCTTCCCCGCGCGGGGGCGACGGCGCGCCGCGCTGTCAGCGAGTCCCACGGGAGCTTGCCGCGGCCGCGAGCTCATGGCGGGGGCGCGCTGCATTGCGCGCGGGCCCGCGGACGCATCGCCCCGACGGAGCACCTCCAAGCGGCGCGCTGCCCCGAGCGCCTGCAGAGGATGGCGGAGAAGATCTCTCGGGCGACGCGTCTGCGAGGCGCGGAGGCGACGCGCGCCGTCCGCCAGCGCGGCGGCCAGCGGCCGTTCGGCCGCGAACTTCCCGCGCCACGGGGGCCCGGCCCGCTGCTGAAGGGCCGCCCCAGACCCCGCCGCGGGTTCCAAGGGCGCCGGGGACAGGCTCCTCCGACGCACGGGGCCCTGACCAGACAGCGCTTCCATGGCCTTGGCGGCGAACCGCGGGGGGGCGCGCCGTCGACGGGCGAGGGGCAGCCCGTCGCGGCCGCGTCGCCGGGCCCGGGCAACCCGAGACCCGCCGGGGAATTCGGCGTTCCTTTTGGCGGGCGAGGCGCAAGCAGGCGTCGGCGCGAACACCCCAGCCAGCCGCGGCCCAGGCGTCTGCGAGGGTCTGGGCGAACTCTCGACGCCAAGTTCGCCGGGGATCCCGACGAGCCCGCGGCGCCCGATGGGTCAAGCAGTGGCGAGGCGTCCTGGCGCATCTGTAGCCCTACCAAACAATGTTCTACGAACCTCTCGTGGTTTCCACGAAATGTTCTTAGAACATGTTTGGCGGAGTCTGTCTTGTTTTATTACATCGGGCTTATGTTCTACAAACATGGTTTTTGTTATTCGAACATTTGGGTTCTAAGAACATTTCGCGGTAGGACTATAGGTATGCCGGGGCGGTCGGCCCCTGCTCAAATGGGGGCGGCGGCCCAGGGAGGCGCGAACGGCCGGCGAGGTGGGCGGCGCCCATTGCGCATTGACAGCGTCGCGAAAAGTGGGCGCGCGCGGAGCAGTGTGTCGCGGCGATGGACCGTCGTTTCTTGCCGAGCCCGAACGATTTGGCGGAGGGGCGCGCGGCGCACGCGGCCACGCAGCTCTGCGGGCCAGAGACGCGCCCGCCCTCCCCTGGCCGCCCGCGGCGCAAGACGTAGCGACCGCCCGAGGCGCGGGACGTGCATCCGCGGGGCGCGGCGGCCGACGCGCGACGCCGCCTCGCCCAGATCGCGGAGAGCCTCGCTGCGACGGTGGGCCGAGGCGGCCCCGCCGCGAGCGCAGGCCGCCCGCGTGCGTCGGGCAGCAATGGAGGAGCGCAGACATCACGCGAATGGCTGACGCCAGCCCCCGAGGGGCTGGAGCACCTGTCAACGCCGAGCTCGAACGCCGCGGCAGCCGCCCCAGGACGCGCAGGGCGAGCGCGCGCCAGGGCGAACGCCGAGCCAGGGACGCGCTGCGCGAGTCGCAGGGGAGCGGCCCCGCGGCGGGGGCGCCGCGGCGGACGCGGGCGACGAGGCGGAGGGCGCGCAGGCCCGTCAGCTGCCCGCTGGGCCGCTGCGCGACGCGGGCCCAGCCCCAGCTCGCGGGGGCGCCATCCTAGGCCACCGTCGATGGATTGCCCGCTGGAGCGCTGGAGCGGTCGACGTGGGCATCGGCGGGCAAGCCCGGGCGATGATTCCGATGCGCGGGCACACTGCTTGGGGGATCTGCGGATGGCTTTGTTGTGCACACTTTTCCAGCGACGCTGCATTCGGGAGTTCTGCCCCTTTGCGTTGGCCGCCCGGCGGAGCGGCTTGGCCTGGAGGCGTGGAGGCGCCCGCGCCGGGCTGCGACGACAGGTTGCAGCGGGCGGCGGCCTTGCGTCGCATGACGGACATGGCGCGACGTCAGGCCGCGAACAGCCGCGACGCGCGAAATGCCCAGGCGCGACGGCACACGGCGGCGGCGACGCAGGAGGATCGCCGCGCGGCCCCGGCCAGGACAATGCGAGGCAGGGACACGCGGGCGGGTCGGCGACCGCCGCGGCCGACGCGACGGGTGTACACGCGGAGCCCTGTGCTGCGTCGTTGCATGGCTGTGCCGCAGCCAGAGCATCCTTGGCTGCGGCTGCATGGCTGGCCGCGGCCCTTGGAGAATGCGCTGAGGACTCGCCGCGGCTGCGCGGGCGCGAGCGCTTGGCGGGGCGCGAGGCGCCGACGGATTCCACTGCGGCGCAGCGGCCCCGGGTAGGAGCGCTGCGGGCGGGTTGGGGCAGGACCCTCCCTGCTGTCTTGGCATCGCTTGGACGTGTGCGCTTTCTCTCGACGGCGACCATCGAGGAGCATCCTCGATCATTCTGCCACGCACGGGGAATGCACGGGGCATGGGCGCCCGAGCGATGGCAAGTTGCAGCGCGGGGCAGGCCGCGGCGGCCCGGGCTCGCGCGGGCACGGGCGGCGAGTGCGCGAGGAGGGCATTGGCTGGCCGATCGGGACGGGGCGCCTCCGAACGCTCGCGCGCGGAGCGCGCGCCAAGCGGCGGGCGGAGGGCCCGGCGCGGTCGCGCCCAGGTCGGCCAGCGGGGCCCAGCGCAGCGAGCATCGGACGACAGAGGCGCGGGGCGGGGACCAGGGAGGGCTTCCGCCCCGCCGCCCGCGGAGGCGGCGCTCGCCCGACGCGCCTCGCGGGCGCCCTGGCGTCGGCGAGGAGTTCCGCCCAAGGTCCGCGGGAGAGGCGCAGTCCACCCGCAGAGGAAGGAGATGCAACCTTCCCCAGGGCGCCACTGCATCCCTGCCTCCGCGGCCCATCCTTGGCCACTTTTGCTGGCCGCGCCCCGCCCGCGAAGTGTCGACGTGGCCTCCCAAGGCCTTTGCATCCTCATCGCGCGTCCTTGTGCTATGGCTTTCGGCTTTAGGGCGCGGTCCCGGGATGTGATTCAAGGGAAGAAAAAACGACCCGGACCGGACAGCTGGCGTTCACTAAGCGGCCTTGGGCGTCTACTCAACAGCCCTGCCCTCTTTGATTCTTCCTTCGGTGCGTTTACTAAACGGCTTCGCGTGTCGGGGTGATTATTAGAGGCGTGGAGTTTTTTACCTCCGGTGATTCGGGGGTGGACAGAACCCCCAACAGTGACACGTCGATTAGTGAATTGTCCGTTTTCGGTTTTTCGAGCGGGCGCCGTGGCCGTTATTTTCCAGGCTTGCGCCCGCCAAGTCTGGACCTCAGGTCGCTTTCACTAAACCACGCTTTGCTAAAGGGGGGCCTGTCCATCCCCGATTTGGGTGCGTTTACTAAACGGCTTCGCGCGTCGGGGTGATTATTCTGGGGGGGGGATTTTTTGACCTCCCGTGATGGCTCCGGCCCCGGCGGGGCGCGGCCCGCGCGCCGACCTCCGCGAGCTCCGCCGGCCCAGCAGGGGGGGGGGACCGGCCCCTGCGCTGCGGCCTCGGGGCGCGGCCCCCCCTTGCGAGGGCGCGGGCGGCCCCGGCGGCCTCCCGCGGCGCGCCGTTGGCGCAGCAGGACGTCGGGCCTGCCCCTTCCACGGGAGGCGTGCTCGAGAAGAGGCAAGGGCATGGTCTGGGGACGATGTGTGGACTACTGTTGGAACTACGGTCAAAAGCCCGAATAAGCATGCGCGACGTTGCTCAGGGTACCCTTGCGTCCTTGCTCTTCCTTGCGCTTGCGTCCTTGAGGTTTTCGTCGCCCGCCGCCCCAAAAATCCCCACTTCGGCTTCCAAGGGTCTTGCGTCCTTACCGCGCGTCCTTATGAGGGTTTTTGACTGTATCTTCTTGAGTGTGCTCTGGCCATGCTTCATCTTCCCGCCAGCACCCGCCGGTGGAGGGACGTGCCCGACGCGAGCGCAGCGCTGAGACGCATCGCGCGCGGGGGCTCAACTCAGAGCTGGGGTTCCACGCGCGCAGGATTCTCAGCACAGTGGGCCCCGCGCACGGAGGGCTCCACGCACGGGTGGCTTTACGCACGTAATTCAGGAGAGCAAGAAACACACCGACACAATTAATCGTCCACTCCCCAGAAAATTTGGGAAAATATGGGAAGTGTGGGGGAAGACGAAAACCCAGAAGATATAGGAAAATATGGGGAATCCATTATTTGTGTGTATTTATTTGTGTGCCCCAGGGCCCCTTCAGTAACGCTCCGCAAACACGCAGGGCTCCACGCGCATGACTCTACACATAAACTGTTTTGGGTCCGCGCGCTGGCAACAGAATCCACCTAAAGGGCGCCCCGACAAAAAAAAAGCTACAAAACATAATTATTCAATACAAAAAAAACGATTTGGAATCCTGGCCACACGTCCAGAAAGTGCGTTGTGTTAGCTGCTGATTCAGGCAGAGCCCTCTCCAGTGTCTCGTGTTGGCCATGCTGAAGTCTCTCGAGACCCGCTCGAGAGACGCGTTCCTGGTGAGCCGCGCCCTCCGTCCTCCCGTGAGAGATTCCACGCGCTCCGCCCCAGCCACCCACCTGGAGGTGCCTGCACCCGCGGCGGCCACGCGCCACATGCTGCCGGCGCGCTGAGGGCTCTGGGTGCAGCGGCCGCCGGCAGCTCCGGTTGCTCGCTGGCGGGGGCCGCAGGATAGGGCTCTCGGTTCCCGCCACCCCGGATGAGTTCTGAATATCTAGGCCTCCTAGGTGGGGTGAGAGCAGATGGGGTCGGAGGATCGCGCCGCATCGCCGGTGCATCGCGGATGCGGCTTGATGGCGCGCCCGATTTGCTTCACGCCGACGTCGCCGGTGCATCGCTGACGTCGACGATCAATCGCCAGTGCGTCGCCGATGCTTCGCCGATGCATCGCCGATGCATCGCCGATGTTTCGGCGATGCTGCGCCATCTGCTCCGACCCCATCTACTCCGACCCCATCTAGGAGGCCTCTAGAATAACAACGTGTGTGCATGCGTGCCAGTGTCTGTTGTGCTCAGGCGTGTGAAACGGGATCGTAAATCAATGAGAGATCTTTGTTCAGGGTCTCCGCAGCGGGAGGGTTGCGCACGCTGTCGGGGAACATTTGTTTTGGCTGTGAGCATGTGTGCGGTATGTTGTTCCTGGCGACGCAGGGGTGGCACGGACGGAGTCGAAGTTGGTGTTCAGAATGTGGTTGGCGACAAAAAACATAGCTCCAGTTTCGGCATCTCGGAGTGACGCAGGCTACTGGTCAAATTGCTGCGCCCTTCATGGCTGATTACATGTAAACGGCCCAAACATCGCCACAGATGGTCGAAGCATCCCGAATTCCACCTCGGGCGTATTGATTGAAACGTTTTGAAGGCAATCTGCTTGAGCGCCGATCTTGCACACAACATCTTCCAGGAGGGCTAGAACACGCAGACACAGAAAGCCGTCGATTCCCAGAGAACTATGGAAGAGATGGGGAGTGGAGGGGGAGACGAACTCTCAGAAAGCATGGGGAATCTGAGAATCCGGGGATGTGTGCCTGTTTGTTCGGTTGTGTGCCCCTGGGGCCCCTCAGACGGCGTGCGGGGCGCGCCGGCTTGCCGTCTTCGCCCCCAAAGAAATTAGGGAGGAGGAGGAGGAGGAGGAGGAGGAGGAGGAGCCTAAGGAAGAGGAGGAGGAGGAGGAGGAGGAGGAGGAGGAGGAGGGGGAGCAGGAGGAGGAGGAGGAGGAGGAGGCTGGTTCGCGGCCAAATGCCCAGGTGTTCGCGGGCAGAAAATCTCGCGAGCCTTCTCTGGGGCAACCAAGAGAGGCACCGATACCCCTCGGTCGCTGAAAGCAGGTATTGTGGACTGACAGAACCCGCTCTACTTCAAGCGCCTTCCTACTTCAAGATTCGATATGCTTTTGCTGCGTTTTGTTACTCTCTGGGTGGGCCCGAACCCAATCTACTTGATCCGCCTTCCTACTCCATGTTTCTACCCACTTCTTCCGACCGATGGGTACCGCTACTCCGCGGACCCCTCCCAGGATTATGATGTTCCAACCTGCTTTAGCCTTGATCACCAGGAAGAATTCCGAGCACCAAGGAAGTAACGAAACCGGAGGTTTTTCACGTGTCGGGCCTTGGAAGGCGACACTCGTTGGACATTGTTTCGATACGTTTCTGGGTGCTCGAAAGTATGTCTGGGATGTGGTCATTAAGTACGATGGGAGCAACGTAATCCAGAGTGCGTTCTGACCAGATTTTCGAGGCGACTTCAGCGGTGGCCTCGAGAGCCTCCCAGGAGGCCTCGGAAGGCGAAGACGAGGCAGGGGTATCAGTATGGGTACCTTTTCCTCGTCTGGCTTATTCTGCACGCGCACATCCTGTCCGTTCCTTCGTTCGGTGGCGAGCGAGAGTGAAGTGAAAAGGGGCGGGCCTTCTCAGAAGGCTCGGAAGTCCCCCAGCCTTCTGAGAAGTTGTTGTAAGCCTTCCCCGAAGACAGACAAATTCTCAGAAGGCGCGAGGGCTTCTGAGAAGTCCCGCCGCCTTCTGAAAAGGCCTTCTCCTTCTCATTTCCCCACCTCGCTCGCCGCCAATTCGTTCGTCGGAGAACTGCCGCAGGGCCCTTCTCGTTCTCAGCAGCGCTAGAGGTAGAGGCGAAGTAACTGCTCCATCAGTTGCCTCGACCAGCCCCGGCACGGCAGCAGACTGTCAGGAATGGTTCTTCTGGCCCGAGAGTTCTGCGGTTGGCGACCCCAACATTGCAGTCAACCCGCGTAGTAAGGATGAGCACTCTTCCAAGGCTACCCTTGCTCCTTCCCCTTCGGCCCATCCTTAACGACTCTCGCTGGCCAGCCTCGTTCGAAAAACGCTAACATGGCACTCCAAGGCCCTTGCATCCTTACCGCGCATCCTTACGATACGGGTCGGCTGTATCGGCGGAGGGCCGCCTTGTCCACCCGGTACAATCGCCTTTGCCCTCACCTGCAGTCTTGGCTCCCACCACCCCCCGATCGGTTCTCCTGGCTGCCGTGGTGCGCGCGCGCGACGAGCGCAGGACTGGGGGAGACCGCCTCGGCAGCCGGGGCCCTCGCCGGGGTGTCGCAGCGGCCCCCGCGGCCGGTCCTGTGGCGGCTGGGCAGGCGGGGCGGCCGGGGGCCTCCTCTTCTTGCAGTGCTGTGGCTCTCTCCGGGAGAGGACGAGGGCGCCAGCACAAAACCCGGCTCGGCGTGTCGCACTGGCGGTGTCCTCCTGGCCCGTCCTCGGGCCCTCTCGGGCCCCTCCCCCCAGAAAAGTCGCGCGAGAGCACTTCCCGGAGCCCAGGGGGGCGCGTGGGACGCCCCAAGAGGTTTCAGAAGTTGGGGCCCCCGGGCCCCTCAAAACAGCCCTCGGGACTGAGGACTGAGGCTCCAGGGTGTTGGCAAAGGACCTGAGGACAAGCCCACTCCGTGCCCAGAGGCACGGTGGCGGATCTCGGAGACGCCTACGGCGAAGCACCGCGGCCCCTTGCCTGAGGGAAACGCCCATCCTGCCAAGTGACGGGCCGAAGGCTGGCCATGATATTGGATGATCTGTTTCCCCAGCAGTTGTGGAACCCCTTTGGGGAACACCTGGGAGAGAAAGAGAAAGGAAGATGAGAGAGAGCAGAAGGAGGAGGAGAAGGAGGAGGAGGAGGAGGAGGAGGAAAAGTGAGCTTCTTCAGGCCGGCTTGTGGTTGCCTGGGTGCTTCCTGGAGGAAGCCTCTTGGGGTCCTCTGGGCGGCCTCTTGGGAGCCTCCTAGGGCCTCTCGGGAGCCTCCTGGGGCCTCGTGGGGACCTTTTGATGGCCTCTGGGGGTCTGTGAGGAACCTCTTGGCCTTCAGAGGCCGTCTTGGGGCCCTCTCTGGGCCGTCTTGGGCGCTTTGGGGTCGTCTTAGAGGTCCATGGAGCCGTCTTGGGGCTGGCTTGGGGGCCTCTTGAGCCGTCTGGGGCCCTCTTAGGCCGTCTTGCCGGCCTCTTAGGGGCCTCTTGGGCCGTCTTAGGGCGAGCATGGGGGCATTTGGGGCCATCTTTGGAGTGTCGAAAGCCCGAAAGAGCGAGAATGCTGAAATCATTGAAAATCCCAGAGAAGGCCAATGTTTTTGACAAGCCCAGGGACTTGGCCTTCTGGGCCCTCTACAGGTCGTTCGCAATATGCAATACTGCTGGTTCTGGATTGCTGAGGACCTGGGGAAGTCTATCGCACACCTCTCGCTGCGAAGGGGGCAGCATATCTGACGCAACTGGAGATGCTCTCTGGCACCTCTGTCCACCAGAGGAGGGGAGCCCGCCCTGGCCAGCTTTGCCCCGTGTACGCAGGACCCCAGACATGTGGAGCGAGTTTGTTCTACTCATGTCAAGCAGTGGCGAAGCGTCCTGGCTCGCCTATAGCCCTACCAATCAGTGTTCTAAGAACTTTCTGTGGTTTCCAGGAAATGTTCTTAGAACATTTCTGGCTGGGACTGTCTTGTTTTAACACATTGGGAATATGTTATAAGAACATGCTTGTTCTTAGAACATTTTGGGGTTCTAAGAATATTTCGTGGTATGACTTTAGGAATGCCGGGACGGTCGGTCCCTGCTCAATTATGGGACCTTCGGCGATACACAACCCAAGTACCGTATTGATATCCGAATGGCGTCTCTCCCCCGTGGAAGTCACTGATGCATCTCAGGATTTTTCAGTGGTTGAGTAAGCACGGTGGCTTTGGCCTGTCCGCCGGCTTGCCACCTGTCCGAGGAGATTCTCCCAAGTTGCTCATTATCCAAACAGTTCTGCGCTGAAAGGTTCGCTTGCCCAGTGAGCCACAGGCAAGCTAAGATCTCCAGCGAGAGGTTCGGAGCGCTGGCATATTACCGCTTCGCGCCCAGGCGGCGGCCTCCAGGGCTCCCTGGACGAGAAGCACCATGGCAAGGTCCCGGGAAATTCCTAGGAAATGTCAGCCACATGTGACCATGATCGTAGATGTGGCCCTCCGGCCCCTGAAGTCAGATCGGGCATGTCCCTCTACAGGCATATTTTAGGCGAGAATGAACATGATTCAAAACATATGCAAAAATTGACAAACACAGCCGAAGGATCGTCCCCAGACTATTTTTTACTATGTTTGAACATTCCTACTGTAGATGGACAGGCCCGACTCAACCCTCAAGAGACGACCCCAAGGGAGGTCGAGAGAGCCCACGAGCGGCCGAGGAGCGGGGACTTGCGGGTCGCAGGCCCCAGGATTCCCCCGAGGTGGCCCAAGGGATGGCTCCAGACAGCCGCCCCGGAAGCACCCAGGAGGCCACAGCGATCTGTTGGGTCGCTCAGTGACGCACGTGTTCTCTCACTGTTGCCTCCTGTGGGCTCCTCAGGCCTCAAGATGGTTCCGCGATTGCCCGAGATGGCGCCAAGTGGGTGGGGCCCAGGCACGCTCCGAAAGCGCTCCAGAGACTCCCAGGAGCAGCTCGGGTGGCCCGCGGCGGACCCTGAAAGGTCCCCGCAAGCCCCCTGAAGCACCCCCCATGAGCCCCCGGATTCATCCCAGAGACTTCCATAAAGCGCCCAGAAGCGCCTTTCGCCCATACATATATGTCTCCTGCCTTCGTAGAAGTGAGTGTTCCGTTCAGCGTGCACTTGTGTGACCCCTCGTGGTTTGACCTGTTCACCCATGGCTCGTCCAAACGTATCAAGATGCCAACAGTGATACAACATGTGCCGGCGGAATGAGCGAAGCGAGGCAAGACAAAATGCAGTTTGGCACGGTGGCGGGCACAGTGCGGCGTCGTCAGGGGGATCATGAGACAGGGCAGGTGCACTTTTCGGACCTCGCGACTTTTCCTTGGCAAACACCCCAGCCAACAGTCGAGCCAATACATCAGCGAGTGCTGAACCGCCAGCGTCCCAGCCACAGGCGTTTCAGTGCCAAGACCTTATCATACTCAAGACGGACGACTGATGTGACGTGGACCAACCCCTGGATCCAAGAGTTTGGCATCATACGCTGCCTGTGGAAATTTAGCTTGGTGCATCCAAGCTTTTCGCCCAGAGTGGCATCCAGACTCGCCTGAATCAAGCGCCGTCATCCTCGTGGAATTGCCGAAACGTTCGCCTGCTCTCCAATCCACGCCAAGAGCAATGAACAGTGCTGTGCCTGTGAAAATTCAACTTGGCGCATCCAAGCTTCTCGCGCAGAGTGGCATCCAGACACCCGAATCAAGCGCCGTCATCCTCCTGGAAGCGCCTAACCAAGTTTGCCTGTTCTCCAATGCACACCAAAAGCAGTGAGCAGTGCTGCGCCCCAGCGGTCAAGACCGGCCAGATTCGGCGTGAGCCCTGACAGGTTGCTGAACATCCGACCGTCATGTTGCTGCTGCTGCTGCTCCTCTCCTTTCTCGTCGGAGGCGACGATCGTGGGCGAGCATTTTACTCGCATCTCTCCGGGAGCCTCGCCGCAGACATGGACCATCGGCGCCCTTGTATACACGTGAGGCGTTCCAAAAATGGCCTTGCCTTCGAGGATCGAAGGAGTTGTCATCTCTTCTTCGGCGGAAGGATGGCGGCAGGTCGGCGGAAGTGAAACGAGGCCGCCTTCGCCGGCGGAAGCTGGCGGAGGGGCGGCGGAAGGTGGCAGAAGTACAAGAGGCGCCCCTGAGAGATGGCAGCATTTTTGGGTTCAGGAGTTCCGGAATCCGCCATGCACTGCGCTCCCCCGGGCTATCGTCGCCCCAATCGTCGCCTCTGGCTTTTGCTCCCGCGAGATCTCCACCTGGCATCGCTCGGACGTGTGCATTTTTTCTCGGCGAGGACCATCGAGGAGGATCCTTGATCACTTGGCGAAAAAACCACGCACGAAGCCGAAAAAAACACAGGGAATGGACGTCCGAGCGATGGCGAGTAGTCGCCCCAATCGTCGCCTCCGGCTTCTGCTCCCTCGAGATCTCCCGGAGGCTGATCCCGGGCGAGCTCGCCGCGACGCGCCGCGGCGGGCGGGCCGCGGGGCAGCGCGGCCGCACGGCGTCACCGTGGCTGAAGGCACCCGCCGCGGTGCGGGAGGTTCGTGCGGCGACGGCGCGCCGGCGACGCTTGCGACGGCGTGTAGGCTCGAACGCCGCATGACTCGGGGGCGGAAAAGAGGGGGGTGATGACTAGATGGGGGTGGATATCATGGCGTGGGCCATGATATTTCCCCAGATTTCATGGCGCCCCTTCTTACTTCATCACGTCCCTGGCCCCCCCGCTGGGCCGCGCACATGCCGCCGGGCATGATGTGCACCCCCCCCCTCCTGGGCACCCCCCTCTTGGCCGCTCCCGAATGACAGAACGCCGCGGAAGCACCGAGGGACACGGGAGCGCCACAGGACCCGGCGGAATGCAGTTCTCAAGGAGCGTCGGGCCGGACGAAAGGGGGGGGACTGGGAATTGGGCGTTGCGTAATGGAGGGGTCATAAATAGGGGGGTGGCGAGGGTGGTCCGAAAAGGTACCCAAACGGTGCCTAAACGAGCCCCTTGGGACTCCAGAGGGGCCCGAAAGGGGCACGAAAGGGGACCGTTTCTGACCCCCCCATTTGTGACCCCCCCATTAAGCAACGCCCAAGGGAAAGGGGGGGTTACGAAAAATCTGCTGCATGCAGCTGGTTTCGGCCTCACCGAGGGGCCCATTCCTCGATACATGGCCGCCTCCAGCGCCGGGAGGCGCTGGGAAAATCAGCTACGTGAGCTGATGCTCAAACCCCCCTTTGCCATCCCCCCCCTTTCGCCCGACCCGAGAGTGGGGTCGTGATCGGTTCAAGGATGTTCAAGGGTGAGCGATCGACGCGGTGCCAAAAATCTTTGCGCGCGCCGACGCCGCACGAACTTTCCGTAGGGGGGGAACTGTCTGGTGCCGTTCCCATCGAAGGTCCACCACATCTTGTGTTCAAGTCTTTCTGTGGCCTCAGGTTGTTGCCCTGCGCGGAATGGCAGTTGGGAAGTGTTTGCTGGTGAGATGACAGGTGTGTACGAGGTGTGAGGTAGGCGGTCTGTTGGTAGGGAGTACCTTGACTTCTTTCAAATGTAATGCGCTGGTGCCCATTCACTAGAACATCACAAGCGTATCCTCTTGGGCCGTTGCGGGAATGCGCGCACCGAGCAACAAATAATAGCATCCCTGGTTGTGTGGTTGAAAAGGGGGAGCTCATCCGATATGCCCAATGCGAAGACGCCTTCGTCGAATCACCGCCGCTCCTTGCCTTTTTGGCTTTGGCCGTCTTATGGCGTTCCTGGCCCATCTGACGCCGTCGGAGGCCGTCTTGGGAGCCTCTCCGGGCCGTTTTGGGGCTCTCCTGGGGCGCTTCAGGGTCGTCTTGAAGGCCATCTTGGGCGTCTTGGAGGCCTCTTGGGCCGTCTTGGGGCCCTTTTGGGGGCCGTCTTGAGGGCGTCTTGGGCCGTCATGGGGCCATCTTGGAGTTCTCTGGGGCGCTTTGGGTGCGAGCGTGCGGGCGATCTTGGGCCCCGTCTGGGGCCGTCGGAGAGCAGGACTTCTTGAAAGACCTCTTGGAGGCGTCTTGGACCGTCTTATGGGCGCTGCTTGGCCCGTCTGAGGCTCTTGTAATCATCTTGGCGGTCTTGGAGGCATCTTGGGACCGTCTCGGAAGCCATCTTGGAGCTATCTTTGGTTTTCTTGGGGCCATCTTTGCAGTCTTGGAGGCAATGTAGGGCAAGCTTGGCCGTCTTGGAGCCGACAGGGCCAGTGGAGACCGAAAGTTAGGAGCTCTTCGGGTGGCCGGCGGGCTGGACCGAGACCCCACGAGGAGTATAGAAAATTTGGTGCGCGTTCCAGAGCACGGGGGGGCAGGAAAAGGGATCAGCCGAGAAGGTGTTTTTGCTGCTGGACACCCACGGCGTGAAGCTCATTTCCGGGTCCGTCGGGTAGGAAGCAACTTGTCGCACGACCTCCACGCAGGTTCGCCACATTCGGGTTGGCCGATGAAGCGTTCGGTTCGTCTTGGGTGTAAGCTCGAGATGTCTTTTGTTTCCGAGGAGGTGTTTTGCGGTTTGCGCATTTTCGGGCCAAGACACCGCTTAGGAAAGTTTCAAGGTGGGAACCGAAACTCAATATTGGCCCTGAGAGGAGGGGGCTGGGCTAACGTTGTACCAGGCCCCTGCGGCCAAACGGAACGGGGCGCTGACCTTCCCTTGGCCCTTGTCGTCCCCTCCACCCACGCCCCCCGAGAGGCCCCCACCAGCTATCTTCAAGCTCGCGCCAGCCCAGGCGGTCACGAGATGCAAGTTGCAATATTGGAAAAACTCTCGGATCGGCGCAGTGACGCCCTCGGAGGCCGTCCTGGGGGCTTCTCTGGGTTCGTCGTGGGGCGCTCTGGGGCTGTCTTGGAGGTTTCTTGCACCGTCTTGGGGGTCTCCTGGGCGCTCTCCGGTCCGTCTCGGGACACTCTTGGGCTCCTCTTGGGGCTCCCCTGGGCCACTGCGAGTGCTATGCTGAGGCCTCAGAGACCCATCGGAAGCGAAGGGGCGAGAACGTAGGTGTTTCACCGAAGTTGGCAAGTCGGGGGCCTCCCAGATCTGGAGGCCACCGGAGCTCCAGGTGGAGGCCCCGAGCCTCAAAAAGACGGGCCGTGGCACGCCGAGCTGGTGGGGGTAGGCGGGCTCCCGCCCGCAGGATCGGCTGGCGGAGGAGCTGCAAACACAGTTCGGCCGATGACCAACCGAAGATCCGGCACGGCACAGGGCCCGCAGCGGGCCCGTCGTACTCGCGACGCTTCGCTCATCGCAAACGACCTTAGGCAGTTTAGGTTGTCGGCTCTAATTCGCTGTTGTCAATTAGTAGGCCCGCGCCCCGGACTTACGACTCGCCGTGTGCGCTTTCGCCCGCGGCCGCGACCAAAAAATCATCGCAAACGGCATATCCAGAACTGATGCCCAGTACCCAGTCCAGGTGGCGGAGCATACAATGAAGCGGAAAGGTCCGGACACCTGTCACACCAGAGTTGGCATCGGCCCGAGCAGCCCCCAGCATGCCCACAGACTTCTGCGGCCTCTTGGGAGCCCTCCTGAGGCCAGGAGCAGTGCTGGAAGCCCGTGCGGCCCTTGTGGGAGTCTCTCGTGCCGCACCCTGCCTGCACCGACTCCCCGCTGCCGTCCCCGGGCGGCGTGTCCCGCTGCATTCTTTCTTGCGGCCAGGACCGGGGCGCGTCCTGCCGCTGTGCAGCCGGTGCGTGACGCATCCCAGGCTTCGTTGCGGCCATCCTGGAGGCCACCAGCAAGAACAAGGGGTCGGCGTCACCCCAACATATTGATGCTATGTGTGCGTCGCCCCCCCATGGGCGACGCGCGCGCCGAGAAATCTTCTAGTATATGCGTCGTGGCGGACGCTTTCCGGCCACACCGCGCGGGAGACGATATGCTTCAAGATGGGTATACTACATTTGTTCGGGTCGGACGCGCGCCTCCAAGGCGGACATAGAGTGCTGGGATGTCTGTGTGCGTCCCGAGGGGGGGCCCAGCTCCTTGCATCGTCGCCTCAAGGGTTCCGCCCGTGCTCCCGCGCGGGCCGCGGCCTGGGCGCCGCCGAGGGGAGGCGCTCCGGTGGAGCGCGCGGCGCGATGGCGGCCACCGACGTGCGAGTGCTGCGGTCTCTGCCGACCGCCGTGGCGGACGCGCTGATGGCGAGAGGGTGTCGCTCTGCTGGCGACGTGCTCGGCCGGCCCGGCCTGCTGCCAGTCGCCCTGCAGCAGCTCCACGTCACCGACCCGGGGGAGCGCGCGAGCTCCATCCTACGCCCCCTGAGATCCTTCAGCTCAGCGATCTGGCCCCTGAGCGTCTCCATGGCGACTGGGGAGGCGCGGACTACTGAACTGATGGATTTCGGTACGCCAGGACGTCGAAATGCATCAGTTCAGTAATCCGCGCCTTTCCAGTCGCCATGGAGACGCTCAAGGGCCGGATCGCTGAACTGAAGGATCTCAGGGTGCGTACATCCTCAAAGAGTGCAGGCAAGAGTTGGACAGCGCCGAGGTTTTGGCCGTGTCTGCGCTCGACCTCTCACAAGCAGCTCAAGCTCCGCCCAGCACTGCGCTGCCCTGCCCGCAGCTCGGGAGTCTTCTTGACGGAGCGCTCCGACCAGGACCGGCAATTCTGGAGATCTGCGGCTTGCCCGGCTCTGGGAAAACGCAGCTCTCCATGCAGATCTGTGTGGCTGTCCAATGCGCGGGGCTTGGTGAAGGAAAGGTTGCGGAGGCTGTGTACATTGACACGGAAGGTTCCTTCGTCACGCGTAGGTACGCACAGATGTGCCATGCAATGTTGGCGAAGCATGGCGGAGCCCATGGCAGGATTGCGTCGCAAGAGGATGTTTTACGAGGAATGCATATATCTCGTGTCCATAGCGCAGGGCAGCTCGTTGCAACGCTCAGAGCGTTGCCTGCTTTTCTCAAACACCACCCGGGAGTCAACGTCATCGTTGTGGATTCGATCGCTTTTTGTTTCAGGCATGAATTTGAGGGCAATCCCAATAAGCGCTCCCGGGTGCTGGCTGACATCGCAGCCAGATTGAGACAGTATGGCGCGGAGAACAATCTTATCAGCGTGGTGACAAATCACATGACCGTCCGTTTCGACCGGAGCGAGGGGAGCGACCGCAGGGCAGCATGGTTGGCACCAGCTTTGGGAGAAAGTTGGGAACACCAGGCGAGCACGCAGGTTCGCCTAGAGAGGCTGAATTCGTGCGAGGGCGTGCGGTCAATTGGTAGGGCCACGCTCACAAAGGCTGTAGAGCAGATTGCGCATTGTAGCTGCTTGTATCGCATTGAAGACGTTGGCGTGCGGGACGTGGACGATGACGTGCAGATGGGAGTTGTTGAAGTTCTTAGTTCAGAACACCAGCAAGGGACAGCTGGATACCACTGAGAGCTGTGGAGTGTGATGATTGGGGCAGTGGGTGAGGCCTGCTCTATCGCATCTTGCTTGCTTAATGGGGAAGAGAGGTCGCTGTAGCACTTGGGAAGGCAGCATGCTCTACCGCCCCATCTGGAGAAGCTGGCGCAGAAAAAGAGGGATGCCCCTCATTAGCGTGGCCTCATCGAAACTCGAGAAATGGTCTCTTCGGACCGTCGGTGAAGGAAGAAGGGGACACTAAGGAAACAGTAAGGGATTATACAACACATCATGAGTGCACACGGTCAGACTAACATACGCAATACAGACACCAAAGAGTGAAGCGAGTCTTGATACCCGAGTCTATGCCCAGGCAGTCAGCACGCCCCTTGCCGTTGTAGAAGTGCCTACCGCCTTGGATTCAAATGATCTGGTTCGGCAATTCCTGAAGTAACCACCCCGTAGATCTTCACCATTCGATCGATCCTCCACATTCAAACGTTGATCGGTCCTACATCTTCGATCTTCCATCGGACCTCGACCCTCGATCTTCGAGCGGTCCTCAGACGACTGGGGGCATTGAGTGGGACCAGAAACTTGTTTGGCAGGAAATCTCAGTCACATGCCACCGTCTGACGGCACGGCATGTTACTAGAGAGTATGCTTGCAGTAAGTCCCACATGAAGTCGCATCGCCACTCTTCGGCCTGAGAAGTCATCTGGTCGCCCTGAAAGGCAACTAGAGAGTTTTTCAGAGGAAGCCATGGATGGACTGCGATTGTCCAGTGCGTACCCGACTGGGTCAGCATGATATAAACTCGGCGCGACCCACATTAGGGATTCCTCTCTCCCAGAGACATACAAAACAATGTTGAGCAATATGAAGTAATGTGTTGCAAAACATTGGTTGGCAGAGGTTTGCATTGTTTGGGGTTGTTCGGCGTAGCTTGGAATTGTTTGGGATCGTCGCTTGGCATAGCTTAGCGTTGCTTGGCGTGGCATTTCTTAGGATTGTTGCTTGGAATCGATTTTGGCAACGGTTGGCAGCAGTTTGCATTTTGTGGCGTTGCTTGGCATTGATTTGGCGTTGTTTCTGTTGGCTTGGCGTTGCTTAGAACTGCTATTTGGTATGACTTGGCATTGCTTAGCATTGCGTGGCGTTGCTTGGCGCTGCTTGGCACTGCTTGGCATTGTTTGGCAGTGCTTGGCGTTGCTTGGCATGAGTTTGACAATGTTTGGCGTTGCATGGAGTCGTTGCTTGGCAATGATTGGCATTGTTCGGCGTTGCTCTGCGTTCCTTGGCTTTGATTGGCATTGCTTAGCATGGCTCGGCGTGGCGTGGAATGGCTTGGTATTTAAGGGCGCTGCTTGGCAATGCTTGGTGTTAATTTGCATTGGCCACCATTGCTTGGAATTGGTTTGCGCTGCATTGCTGGAACCCCCGGCAATCCAGAGCAAACTCGAGCAATTCCGAGCAACCCCGGGCAACGCCCCCGACGAAGGACCCCGCCTCTAGAAGTAAAAAGGGCTGGTGCACCAGATGGTCGCAAGCTGGTCACTGCAACAATGTAGTAGTGCCCCACGGATAATAGCAGGAGCAGCTCAATTTGTCTTGCAAGACTCTTGTGACCTGGACGTTTTATCCACGGGGTTGTATGTGGCCAAGCGTTGGGCCAACGTCTGTCAAAGTTGTTCGGCTATGTGTTCCCCCAGCCGGCCCAGCCGTTGTGGAAACCGTTGGGTGAACATGTGAGGGAGGAAGAGAGTCGAGGAGAAGGAGGAGGAGAGGAATCGTATTACTAGGATGAGGACGAAGAATAATACCATTAATAGTAACAATAAGAAGATGAGGAAAAAGAGGACGAATCACAATAATAGTAATAGTAGTAGTAGTACTACTACTACTACTACTACCACTACTACCACCACTACTACTACTACTACTACTGCTACTACTACTACTACTAATAATAATAATAATAGTACTACTTTTACTACTACTACTACTACTACTACTACTACTACTACTTCTACTACTACTACTACTACTACTACGACTACTACGACTACTACGACTATTACTACTACGATTCTTACTACGACTGTTACTACGACGACGACGACGACGACGTCGACGTCGACGACGACTACTACTACTACCACCACTACTACTACTACGACTACTACTACTACTACTACTACTACTACTACTACTACTACTACTGCTACTACTACTACTACTACTACTACTACTACTACTACTACCACTACTGCCGCTGCTGCTGCTGTTGCTGTTACTATTACTATAAATGCGAATCCAGCAAGTAAGGAAACGAATAATATCATGATGAAGATGGAGCGGAGGAGGAGGAGGCGGAGGTTCAGGAGAAGACGAAGGAGAAGAAGGACGAGAAGGAGGAGGAGGAGGAGACGGAGGAGGAGAATGAGGCTTCGTGGGCGCCTCTTGGGGCCCTCTTGGACTTCCTGGGAGCCTCCTGGAGGCCTCTGAGGGCCTCCTGGGGTCCTTTGAGGGCTTCCGGCCGGCGGCCCAGAATCGTTTGGGAAACGGCCGACCGTTCAAGATTGAACGGTACCCGAGGTGTCAGGAGCCAGCGCCGAAGTCGGCACGACACGAACTTGCCGTACTCTGGCCTATTATCCTACCACCTTTGGTTAAATAAGTTTGTCTTGCCGTATGCGGCCTACCTATGTTATTATCTGCTGGGCGGGCCGTGCGGCGGGCCGCGTGTGGGTCGGGGGGGGCGGCGGCAAGAACAATATATCAGCGATCATCTCAAGGCCTACTCGTTCTGAGCTGCTCGCGCGCCGCTCCACATGTACACCTCGAGCCCTCTGTTCCCGCCCTCATCTCTTTCGACCATACCCCCTGTTTTATTGAGGCGAGTTCCTGCTCCATGCGGGGATGCGGGCGACCCTACACTGGCGAGCGGGCGGCCAGAGCCAAACGAGAGATCGGGTCGGGTCGGGCGGAGAGGAGGAGGGGAGGGCGGGAAAAAGAGCTGAAGGGGGGCGGAGAGAGGAGGGAAAAAGAGCGGGGCATGCGTATAAATGAAACGCATGTGTACCATTGCCCTGCGAGTGACCATTCGTGGCAAGAGCGAAAGCGGGGGAGAGGAGGACAGAAGAGGGGGAGGAGGAGAAGGGAGAAGGAGGAGGCGGAGGGGAGGAGGAGGAGGAAGAGGAAGGAGCAGAGGAGAGAGGGGGTATGGAGGCCGAGGGGTAGGGGGTAGGGGGAGGAGAAAAGGAAGGAAGAGGAGGGAGAGGAGGAGGAGGAGGAGGAGGAGGAGGAGGAGGAGGCGGAGGAGGAGGAGGAGGAGAGAGGAGAGGAGGGGGAGGAGGGGGGAGAGGAGAAGAGGGGAGGGGAGAGGAGGAGGAGGAGACGACGAAGCAGCAGCAGCAGCAGCAGCAGGAGCAGCACAGTGGGGGTGGAGGGGGAGGAGGGGCGGACGGCCCGGGGCTGTGCCTCCGCGCGGGGGCCCCCCGCCCCCCTGCGCAGGAGGTCTGCGAGCCGGGCCCGTGCAGCGTCCGGCAGTGGCTGGACGGCGGCGCCGCGTCCTGCCCCGCCGGGGCCGACTCGCTGCAGGGGCGGACCGTCGACGCGGGCCGGCGTGCCAGCACGGGGCTCGCGCCCAGGAAACATTGGTTGCACGCACAGCGAACCCGTGCAGTAAGGATGGGTGCCCATGCATCCTTGTTTCCTCCTCCTCCTCCTCCTCCTCCTCCTCCTTCTCCTCCTCCTCCTCCTCCTCCTCCTCCCCCCTCCTCCTCCTCCTCCTCCTCCTCCTCCTCCCCTCCCCCCTCCTCCTCCCCTCTTCCTCCTCCTCCTCCTCCTCCTCCTCCTCCTCCTCCTCCTCCTCCTCCTCCTCCTCCTCCTCCTCCTCCTCCTCCTCCCTCCTCCTCCTTCCCCTCCTCTCCTCCTCCTCTTCTCCTCCTATGCCTCCTCCTCCTCCTCCTCCCCCTCCTCCTCCTCCCCTCCTACTACTCCTCCCCCTCCTCCTCCTCCTCCTCCTCCCTCCTCCTCCTCTCCTCCTCCTCCTCCTCCTCCTCCTCCTCCTCCCTCCCTCCTCCTCCTCCTCCTCCTCCTCCTCCTCCTCCTCCTCCTCCTCCCTCCTCCTCCTCTCTCCTCCTCCTGCCTCCTCCTCCTCCTCCCCTCCTCCTCCTCTCCCCTCCTCCTCCTCACCTCCTCTCCCTCCTCTCCTCCTCCTCCTCCCCTCCTCCTCCTTCCTCCTCCTCCTCCTCCTCCTCCTCCTCCTCCTCCTCTCATCATCCTCCCTCCTCCTCCTCCTCCTCTTCTCCTCCTATGCCTCCTCCTCCTCCTCCTTCTCAACCTCCTCCTCCTCCTCCTCCTTCTCATCCTCCTCCTCCCCTCCTTCTCCTCCTCCTCCACCTCCTCCCTTCTCCTTCCTCCTCCTCCTCCCTGCCCTCCTCCTCCTCCTCCTCCTTTCTCCTCCTCCGCCTTCTCCTCCTCTATGTTCCTCCACCCCCTCCTCCTCCTCCTCATCCTCCTCCTCCTCCTCCTCCTCCTCCTCCTCCGCCTCCTCCTCCTCTTCCTACTTGGCCGCTCTCGTGGGCCGCGCCCCGCTCGCACAGGGTCGTCATGGCCCTCCAGAAGGTCTTTGCGTCCTCATCGTGCATCCTGATGACACGGGTCGACTGTAGGAGTGACCCTGCGCCGGCGCCGGAGTGACCTCTGTTGCGGGTCCACACCGGGGCCCCCCAGTCGCCGAAATTCGCCGAGTGCGAGGCGATAATGGCGAGGTGACCCTTCGCCAGAGTGACCTTTCGGGGAAACGTAACGTAAGACTCGAGTACGTCGGAACTCGGGTTCGCCTTCGCTTTTTGACGAGCCGGCCTTGGATTTTGTCGGTCCAGTTCTCGTGGGACGTTTGCAGCGGGAGCTCGCGTCAAGGACAGTTTCAGACTGGGTCTCGTCATTTTCATGATGGCCCCCCGAGTATTACGTCTCCCCGAACCTTCGATGCGGGCCCACATTGGCGCCTCCCAATCGCCGAAGTTCGCCGAGTGCGAGGCGATACTAGCAGCGGCCTGCGCGCCCGGATTTGGCCCCCCGGGCGGCCCCCAGAAGCCGCGCACCGAACGTCAGTCTTGACTAGGGTCACTCTAGCGTCTAGCCGAAAAGTCCAGACGATACCGCCGACAGGGTCTGGCAGCGCGTGCACATGAGACCGTTGTTCCGCAACCTCTCGTGTGCGCGAAACTGGGCCCGGGGGGGGCATTCCCTCAGGGGGGGCCCCAGGGCTGCGTACAGGAAGGGCACTAGGGATAGTGTGAGTGAATGGGCAAAGGCCTATGCTCGGAGAGCGAAGAGGTGGACCGGACCAGAAGATACCATAGTGGATGGCGTTTGCGATTGAAGATCAGGATGTTGCTGTAGTCTGGGTCCGTGTGGGAATGGCAAATGTCCAAGTAATGCTTGTTCTGGCTCCGTTTCTTCTGCGCCATGCTGGAGTACATTGCCGAGCCGAAGTGGCTACAGAGCATGGCGCAATTGAGGCACGTCTCTTGATGGTCCTGGGTGTGCACCCTCGCCGAAGCGTGTCCCGGCGTATGTGCAAGTCGTTATTACAGTAGTATGAAAGTTGCCAGAACTGAAACATGCAAGAGGTGCAGCCGATGCCACTGTTCCATTTCAAGTTTGGCACAAGGATAATCTATGCCCGTTCCAAGGAAGAATAGATGGAGGCGTTGGTGGGGGAATATGACGGAACGGCACCCGATTTCGTCTTCAGATGTAGTGTCGAAGGTCGCGTGGTCGTAATTTCAGACGGAAGCACCGATATTATTCAGCCGGTGTCGGGATTGTTGCCACAGTCCATTTCGGAGCCGATCTTGGGAATGCTGGAGTTACCGATTCTTGCCCTGGCATGCGCCTGGGTGGCGTGGACTGCGGTCGGATCGACCTGCCAGTCGAGCAGACCCCAAAGACCGGAACATAAGATTGACCGGAAGCGGAGCATACAACAGTTCAGTCGATCGTATCGGGTTGTGGGACATTCAAAATTATGTTTATATTATTGGCGGTCGGCTCAAGGATGAGTCTCGGAGATGGGGGTCGGAAGTGGACTCGCCATGGGAGTAGAAGCTGGCGCCGGAAATGCATAAAAGTGGGTGTCGGCAAGATGCACTTCGAACAAGGCCGCAAAAGCCGCATCCGTGACTCGTTCGTCTCGCTGCCCAATGTTGCGTGGCCGATCCCCATCGCAGTAGTCCATCCCAGAATCGTGTACGAGTAAATTGGAGATGCTGTCAGAAATGCCATGGGAAGTCGGAGCTGGAGGGGGAGTTTGGGAAGCGACGGGCCATCCACATGCCGCAGGTCATCACACGGCCCGTCACTATCGTAGTGCCACCCGTCGTCGTAATGCCTCTTGCCCTCATGCCCATCTTCTCACAGACCGTTGTCTTTCTGTCCCGTGCCTTGAATGCCGTCGTGTGCGTAGTCGTCGCTTGGTGTTCATTATTGTCATGTTAGATATGCTGTTTGTCCGTCACGGGATTTGCACCCCAAGCGGAGTTCCTCGTTCCTCGTGGCAGCTTCTGTTCCCTTCGTTGAGTATATTGCGAGGATCCTCGTGGGAGCTTTCGTTGGGCCCGCAGTCGATCTCCTGCTCTCGGAGACGCAAAAGGAGCCCTCATAGGAACTTCCTATGCCAAAGCCACCGACCGAGCTTCTATAGCACGGGAAAGCCGGAGTTGGAGTTAGGGTTGGAAAAAAGGCGGGTTCTTCCACCTCGGCGTAGATCCGGCGTAGACGTCGACGTTAGCGTCGATGCTTACGTCGGAGCCCGCGGCAATGCTGGCGCAAGTCCCGACATATTATCATCCCATTCCCCACTGATGTTATTTGCTACGGAGCGCTTCGGTGTTGGCGTCCGTGTTGGACGGATGAATGGGCAGCGTTTTGAAGGGTCGCTCTTGGAGCCACTTCGGAAAACGCCCGGGCGATCACGGGCGTGACCGTCCCCGCCCACCCTTCTCTCCCCCGTGTCATGTCGCAGCAGTCGTCCGGTGGCGACCGCAGACGTCCTGTGGCGCTCGCAGGCTACTTCGGTGTTCAGAGGCATGTTATTGTGGGAGGTTCCGAATCACATACCAAACATTGAATCACAGACCGCGCGCGGCGAATCACAGACCGCGCGCGGCGAATCACAGACAGCACACACTGAATCAGAGACTCCGCACGCCAAATCAGAGTTTGCGCACGCCGAATCAGAGACTCCGCGCGCCGAATTAGAGATCCCGCACGCCGAATCAGAGTTTCTGCGCGCCGCATCAGAAACTCCGTACTCCGGTGATCCGGCTGATCCAGTGATCGGGCTGATCCGGCCAGTTGATCCGGTGACCTGGTGCTCATGACACACTGTTGTGGCCAGCTGATCCTGTGATCGGGCTGATCCGGATGATCCGGTGATCGGGTTAGCTGATCCGGTGATCCGGTGACTTAGCACTTAGTGTTGTGGCCAGCTGATCCTGCTGATCCAGTGATCCAGCTGATCTGGCCAGCTGATTTGGTGATGCGATGATCCGTTAATCCTGAGTTGTGGCCAGCTGATCCAGTGATCCGGCGTTGTGGCCAAATTGATCTTGTGATCTGGCTGATCTGGTGATCGGGTCAGCTGATCCGGTGATCCGGTGACCTAGCACCTAGTGTTGTGGCCAGCTGATCCAGTGCTCCGGCTGTTCCGGTGATCTGGTGTTCTGGCTAATGGATCCCGGCCCTTCCGAAAGGAGCCCATCCGGCGCGCCGAATGGGCTCCATCGAGCGCGCGGCGTGGGAGGTGCGACCAAAAACAAAGAAGATGGAGTCCATCCGGCGCCGAATGGACTCTCGAGATTAGAGCCCATCCGGCGGCAAAGGAGTCCTTCCGGCGTAAAACAGAGTCCATCCGGCGAACCGATAGAGTCCATCCGGCGGCGTTAGAGTTCATCTGGTGCCAAGTTAGAGCCCATCCGGCTGCATTAGAGCCCATCCGGTTGGCAAAATGACCATCATGGCATCCGAGTCTATTCGGCGGATAGCCCCGTTGTGCGCGCTGCTTGCACATCCCCTCGACCCCGCGCCCTCATGCCCCCGCGACCCCATGCCACCCGCAACCTTATCACCCCGCCACCCCGCGACCCTATCCCGCGACCACAAGTCCTCACGACCCCGCGACCCCACCGCCCACCGCATCACCGCCATGTCACCCCGCCGCCCCACGAACCCGCGACCTCACGCCACTGCCCCGAGACCCCGCTGCTCCGCAACCTCGCAGCCCCACCGCCCCGCCACGCCACCGCGTCAGCGGATCCTTAGGGTCCTTCTCCCTAGGGAAATCCTTGGGATCATTGAGGATCCCTTACGGAACCAAGGGGGGCCCCACGGATCTTTCGGGATCCTTAGCGGAACCTTGAGGGAACCTTGGGGATCTGTGGGGATGTTTCGTTGTTCCTTAAAGGAAGCCTCAGGATCCCTCAGGGCCTTTAGCGCGCCCCCCAGGAACACCGTAAAGATCTAGTGATCCTTAGCTGTCCCAAGCGGAACCCTAGGGATCCTTGAGGATCCTCAGCGGATCTTTAAGGAAGCCTGGGGCCCCTTAGCGGATCCCCCCAAGGATATTTCGGGATTCTGAGCGGCGCCCTCGAGAAACCCTAAGGACCCTTTGGATCCTTCGCGGATTCCGACAGGGAAACCCTAGGAATACTTGCGGATCCTGGGCGGATTCTTTAAGGAACTTTCGGGGTCTTTGGGGAACCTGGAAAGGACCCCCAAGGAAACCTTAGGAATCCTTGGCGCGAGGGATGAGGGTTATCCCCAGGGAAGCCCAAGAGATCCTTGGGAATCCTTCGCGGATCCTTAGGGAAATGCGCGAATTCATTCCACGTTTGTTTGGGACCCCCCCACCGAGCACCCACATGACTACATTGCATACCAATGGCATGCAAAACAACAACGAGGAAACACACGTGACAGTCCGTGCGCACTGGGAGATTTGAAGGAATACGCGGAAACGCCGAGCGCTAGGTGCACCCGAGAGGCGCCAGCATAAGGATGCGATTTTTTGAGCGAGGGTATTGCAAAAATGAGAATTGCTTCGGTTTGTTTCAAAAACTCACTTCGGATTTCAAAGAGTCCATTCGGCGAGGCCTTTTCACAGAGCCCATCCGGCGGAATTAGAGCCCATCCGGCGGGATAGAGCCCATCCGGCTGGAAGAGAGCCCATCCGGCTGACACTAGAACCCATCCGGCGCGCCGAATGGTCTCTCTTTTCAAAAAAACTACTCGGCGAGAAAACAGAGCCCATCCGGCAAAGGGAGTCCATCCGGCGAAAAAAGAGTCCATCCTGCGACGCGACCTACTATTTGCAATGTTACTACACGTGTAGCTCACGCAGATCAGAGCCAATCCGGCGCTTGCGCGGAGATTCGCCGAATGCTATTCCATTCGGCGCCGAGCGGACTCTGTTCGGAAGGGCTGGGATCTGGTGTTCCGGCTGATCCAGTTGTTCCGGTTGACTGGATTGCTGATCCGGTGATCTGGCGATTCAATCAAAAAAAAATCTAGTCCGATTGCTTCCGGGCGCCCGGCCCCCACGCTGGAATTCCAAGAGGGAAGAGAGAAGGAGTAAAGAGGAAGCAGCAACCATTTGCATGCGCGCCAGCGTACACAACAACGCCTGCACGCAAATGCCGTGGTGTGCACAGCATTTGGTGTACATTGGTATTGTGTTTCACGCGGGTGGAGTGGTGTACGCAGGCGCTGTGGTGTACACAAGCGTTGTGGTGCATGCGGGCATTATGGCACACGCTGACTCTGCGTTGCACGCGGCTGCTGTGGTGAACATAAGCGGTGTGGTGTACACAGGCGCTGTGGTGCCCCCAGGTTATGTTCGGTGTCGGCTGAGAATAACAAACAAGCTCAAAACATCTGAACGTGGTAAGGAAAAGGGGGCCCTGGGGACCAGCGGGAAGGATGAGGGGGGAGGACCAGAAAAGGAGGGGAAGAAAATGAAGCTGCTTGTGCGCTGGCCGCGTGCGCTCGGATAACTACGAATCGACATCATAAGTATGTTTCCTGCGAATCCAGGACATGAAGTTGAAACTAAAAACGGCTGTGGGGAGATATAGGCATCGTCATTGTCGCCGTCACCGTCCGTGATTGGTGTACGTACTTTTACAAAACGGGTATTCAACAACACATCGAATTTGGATGACTCCAGAAAACAATGAAATTCATCGGGGGGGCAAATCCCTAAAAGTGGAAAATCGGGTCTCCAATAATTAATGGGAACCAAAATCAACAATTCTTTTCACGTTTCGCGTATCCCCACCAGGGTCCGTAGCGTTTGGCTCAAGGCGTCTGGGCTCGAGCCCGCCCCCTGGCTCAGATGCGCGCCCCAGTCCGTGGGATGGAGGCCCGTGTCGCGGCGGCGGCTGCGGCGTGAGCGGTCGCCTCTGCCGCCGGCGCCGCAAGTGCTGCTGGCGCCACGGGCGCCGAGGGCGCCGCGGGCGCCGCGGGCGCCGCGGGCGCGGCTCGTGCCGCGGGCGCCGCGCGCGCCGCGGGCACCGCCGGCGCCGCGGGCGCGGCGGGCGCCGCAGGCGCAGCAGGCGCGCGGGCGCCGCGGGCGCCGCCTGCGCCATCGCGGGTGCCTCGGGCGCCGCGCGCGTCGCGCGCGACACGGACGCCGCGGGCGCCGTGGGCGCCGCGGGCGTTGCGGGTGCCGCGGGCGTCGCGGGCGCCGCGGCGCCGCTGGCGCACCGTGCGTTGTTGGCGCCGCGCGCGCCGCCAGCGCCGCGGGCGCCACCAGCGCCAGCAGCGCCGCGGGCGCCACCAGCGCCGGCGCCACCAGCCCCGCCAGCGCCGCGGGGCCACGGGCGCTGTTGGCGCCGCCTGCGCCGCGGGCGCCGCGGGCGCCGTGGGCGCCGCGGGCGTTGCGGGTGCCGCGGGCGCGCGGGCGCCGCGGCGCCGCTGGCGCACCGTGCGTTGGCGCCGCGAGCGCCGCCTGCGCCGCCAGCGCCGCGGGCGCCACCAGCGCCAGCAGCGCCGCGGGCGCCACCAGCGCGCCGGCGCCACCAGCCCCGCCAGCGCCGCGGCCACGGGCGCTGTTGGCGCCGCCTGCGCCGCGGGCGCCGGGCGCCGTGGGCGCCGCGGGCGTTTGCGGGTGCCCGCGGCGCCGCGGGCGCCCCGGCGCCGCCCGCGCCGCGGGGCGCGCGGGCGCCGTCGGCGCCGCGGGCCCCGTGGGCGCCGTCGGCGCCGCGTGCGCAGCGTGCGCCGCGGGCGCCACCAGCCCCGCCGGCGCCGCGGGGCCACGGGCGCTGTTGGCGCCGCCTGCGCCGCGGGCGCCGCGGGCGCCGACTGGGTCCACTGCGTGGACAACACCTGGAAGCCACGCCCACTGGGTGAGTTGCTTAGCCATGCTTTCGGCAGTTCACTTGGCAGTTCTATGCGTGCTGCCATTACGTACAGGCGTTCGATGTCGATTTTATCCATCGTATTCCTGGTTGGCAGCATCAGGCGTGTGGCCGATCCGTTCAGGTTTTCGGTGTCGATCCCTTCCATCGTTTTCCTGGCTGGCTCTTCCTCTCGTTCTCGGAGAGGGGATTGCCCCGGATCTTTTCTCCCAGGAGTGAGTGTGCGACTTCGGTGGCGCCACTCATAGTGGTTCATGGTCAGTGACGCATTCCTGGCCATCGGTGTTAACATTATTTCCTGGAGCGCATTGCAAGCGAGCTGCCCCCATTCAGGGGCTGTGTGCATGGATCCCTCGTGTGGTTTATTCCAACGTAAAGTCCTACACGCCCTCAGCGGTCACTTGTCAGCTCCGTTGTTTGTGACCTTGCCGCCCCATTTTGGCTGCGTATAGCTCCTCGGTTCAATTAGTGCATCGGCACTCCCCCCAGATCCTGGTCCTGGTTGCAGTCTGCATCGCCCGCTTCGGCAAGCTTTCGGGCCCTGCCCCGCTTCCTCGCACCACCTCGCGCAGCCCGGCAGCTTAGGCAGCTTAGGCAGCTTAGGTTCGGCCGTCGGTCCCCGTGCGCTAGGCAATTAGGTTCGCGCGTAGCCCGCCCGACCTCTGACGCTTCTGGCACGCTCGCCTGCGGCCGCGACGAACAGTATCCCCACCAGCCCATTCAAAAACCCTGCCCTTCAGAGTTGACGGGAACATGGACGAATCTATACATGTAGGGAAACAAAGCGAGCAAGGGGGTGGCCTTGGAAGATCTCTTCGGACCATCCCTGGGTGCTACGTGGGGGCGAGGTGAAGAGGAGGAGGAGGACGACGAGGAAGAGGAGGAGGAGGAAGACGAGGAGGACGAGGACGCGGATGAGGACGAGGATGAGGAGGATGAGGATTAGGATGAGGACGACGCGGACGAGGACTCTGAGGTAGTTCTTATTGCATATGTTGTTGCTGATGGTGCTATCTGGGAGGTGGGGGGGGCCCTCTTACAACCCTTGTGATAATCCTGGAAGGCTTCTTGGGATCATTTTGGAGGCCATCGATTACAGGATGGGGGGGTCCCCAACTCAATTTCCCCCTCAGGAGCCGGCAGACCGTTTTTTGGTTTTCTTTTGGGGCGCTCTTGGAGTGGTTTGTGTGCCGTTTGGAACATATTGGAAGCCATCTTGAACCAGTTTGGGTTATCTGAGCCATCTTGGAGGTCATCTTGGGCTCTCAGAGACCGTTCGGGGGCCTCTTGTGGGCCTTTCGGGTGCCTCTTGGGGCCCTCCTTGGGACTTTTTTGGAGCCCTCTTGGAGCCCTCTTGGGCTCTTTGGGGGGCCCTGGAGCGCCTCTTGGGGCCATCTTCGAGGCTATCGATCAAAGGAGGGAGGGTCCCAATCGAGCCCCCCTTCGGGGGCCACGATCCTCGTGAGGGATGTCAACATTGGCCCTCCCTGGGGCCGATATTGAACGCTTCAACGGGTCGCGGCCCCTTCCGTCCAGGTCCAGGGGAGGGGGTAGGGGGATGGGTCAAGACACTCCCTCCCCGCCGCAAGCCGTCTCGTTCACCCCCACCCGCCCTCCCAGCACATACGTAGCACCCGAGCCTGGCCCCCAGCCGCAACAGATTCAGCAGTCCTGTTTGGATGGGCGGCTACTGGGGGCGCATCCGCCGCCGCCGCCGCCTCCGCCCTGCCGCCGCCGCTTCCGGCCGCCGCCGCCGCCGCCGCCGCCGCCCACCGCCGCCGCCACCGCGCCGCCCGCCGCCGCCGCTGCCGCCGCCGCCGCCACCGCCGCCGCTGCCGCCGCCCCCCCCCGATGATGCCGAAGCGCCGCCGCCGCAGCCTCTGCCGTTGATGCCGCCACCGTTGCCGCCGCCGCCGCCACCGCCACCGCGCCGCCGCCGCCGCCGCTGCCGCCGCCGCCGCCGCCACGGCCGCCGCCGCCGCCGCCCCCCCCCGGTGCCGAAGCGCCGCCGCCGCAGCCTCTGCCGTTGATGCCGCCACCGCTGCCGCCGCCGCACCCGCACCCGCACCCGCTGCAGCCGCTGCCCCCGCTGCAGCCGCCGCAACCGCCGCCGCCGCCAAGTGTATTTTGGATTGTTTTTTTGACAGGGATGGTCGGGGGAGGCCGCATCGGGTTCGCTGCGCATGCTCCGAATTTGGAGGCAGAGTGTGTGTTGCATTGTTTTTTACAAGGGGTGGTGGGGGTGCCCTCATGGACCTGGGTTGGCTCCCAGTTGCTTGGGGGAGGGGGTATATACTACTAGGGAGCAGTGATCAAGACTCCCGCCCCGCCTGCAAGCCGTCTCGCTCACTCCCACCCGCCCTCCCAACACATACGTAGCCCCCCAGTCTGGCCCGAGCTGCAGCATATGCAACACTCGTTTTTGGATGGGCAGCGACTGGGTGCCAATCCGCCGCCGCCGCCGCCGCGGCGCCGCCGCCGCCGCCGCCGCCGCCGCCCGCCGCCGCCGCCGCTGTCCGCCGCCGCCGCCGCCGCCGCGCGCCCGCCGCCGCCGCCGCCCCCGCTGCCGAATCGCCGCCGCCGCAGCCGCTGCCGCCGCAGCCATTGCCGCCACCTCTGCCGCCGCCACCGCCGCCCCGCCCCGCCCCCGCCCCCGCCGCCTCCGCCGCCGCCGCAGCCGCCGCCGCCGCCAAGTGTAGTTTGTATTGTTTGTGGACAGGGATGGTGGGGGGAGGCCGCATCGGGTTCGCTGCGCATGCTCCGAATTTAGAGGCAGAGTGTGCATTGCATTGTTTTTTACAAGGGATGGTGGGGGGGGCCTTCATGGACTCGGGTTGGCCCCCAGTCGCCTGGGGGAGGGGGTGTATACGAATAGGGAACAGTGATAAACCCATCCCCTAAGGGGAAGGAGGGCATTTGGAAGAGGAAAAAAGACACTGTTAGACCACCTACGCCACGAGGGCCGGTGGGATTATAGAACCCCGGGTGTGTTTGTGTGTGCAATCATATACAAATTGCGGCCCGCAACTATGCAACATTAGGTCAGTTGCTATAGAAACCCAGGTCCGCCACGACCGAAACCAATGAACGGATATCGAAACCTCTTGTCCAAACACGGAATCCATTACGACCGCTTTTGTTGTCCAGCGGCTTCCGGCTTCAACGAGTGGTTTGTGATTCGGCGCGTGTGGTTTGCGATTTGGCGCGCAGTCGATGATTCGTCGCGTGCAGTCTGTGATTCAGATTGTGCGGTCTGTGATTCGTCGCGTGCGGTTTGTGATTATTTGCGTGTTGTCTGTGATTCGTCGCGTGCGGTCTGTGATTCAAGATGTATTGTTTGTGATTCGCCGCGTGCGGTCTGTGATTCAATGAGTGTTGTTTGTGATCCAGCGCGCGCGATCTGATTCGCCGCGCGCGGTCTGTGACTCATTTTCTGGTCTGTGATTCGGAACTTGCCGTGTGCTGTTGTGTTCACAGGGACGCTGTGGCTTTCGCGAGGGGAAGCGGCGCTTGCGTGCGTGCCAGGGATGGAGTGTTGTTCCGTTGCTGACAGGCGTTGGTGCGGCGGTCGGGGCGCGGCTGTCGTAGTTGCCAGCGTTGTAGTGCATGCAGACACTGAAGGCCCACACGGGCTTTGTGTAGTACGTGAACGTTGTGGACTCCATAGTCGCTGTGGCGTGCGCAGGCACTGCAGGCCGACCTGCCGGGGTTTGTTTCCACGGTAACGAAAAACAGTTACAAATAATGTACATATAAAATTTGATCGGTCCGGGATTGGAGGAAAAAGGAGGGGAAAGAGAATGTGTCATTGTTTTAGCGCCCTTCTCGCCCGCCATAATCAGAATGGCTGTCGTATTTCTCTACGCTCTAGGGGAATGCCGATAAATTTGCCGCCCGATTGACCTGTTCTCTAAAAACCGCCCCTTGGACCCATGCTTGGGCGCAATTGATTTGAATTTCGAGGCGGCTCCAGCAGGTGGGGACGGCGTGCGTCTTCCAAGGCGGCCATACTTCGCGAAAGTCCGTTTGAGCGGAAATGCCGGTCGAGCTAAGCTCGGCCATGTGCCGCGTGGAGCTAAGCCGCCTTTGGAAGATACCCCACCGTTCCCACATGCTACCGATTTCCAGGGATCAGGACGTCGTGAATTCATAAGACAACCATGTGTTTTTTTTCATTGTGAACGATATCAGGTTTCGAGTAATTTTTTGAAGCATCGTCAAAGACATCGTGCCCGTCGAGATTCGCCCAAGACGTTCAAAAAATCTTGACAGCCGCGATTCGGCAGCGCGTGGGTGGGAGTTTCCGAATCACAGACCAAACATTGAATCAAAGACCGCGCGCGGCGAATCACAGACTGCGCGCGCCGAACCACAATCAGCACGCCCAGACTCCGCGCACCGAATAAGAGACGCCGCGCGTCGAATCAGAGACACCGCGCGCCGAATTAGAGACCGTGCGTGCCAAATCGCAAATTGCGCGTGCCGAGACTCCGCGCATGCTAAATCAAAGTGTCCGCACGCCGAATGAAATTCTGCTTACTGAATCAGAGATTCCGCCCGTTTTAAGAGAGATTCCGTCCGCCGAATCAAAGACCGCGTTCCTCCTCTCTTGCATTCTATTGGGGGCGGCCTATTTAGATTCTCGATGATCAGATTCTCCGGTCGGTCATGTGATCCAGTGACTCGGTGTTGTGGGCAGCTGATTTGGCCAACTGTTAAGGTGAACTGGTGATCAGGCGACCAGATATTGATTGCCAATTGATCGGTGATCCGCCCTCCCGCCGCTGATTTCGTTTATTTGACAGACAAAATGTTTTTGCAATATGATTGCGAGGATTTCACCCATGGTATTTTTTTGTTTCGATAATTGACACCACTTGCCACCACATTGGCACCATTGGTTTCCATAGCTGGCGATAAGGCTTCTCTAATTCTCAATACGGTTTTCCATGATTGTTACCACGGGTTTTCATGATTGTCGCCACGCGGGTATCTTCAATTGCTAACACAAATTTGCATAATTGACATGTCGGGCGCGCCAAAATGAAGTTCATAATTCATAATCAGGGCGCGGGAGGAACGGAAAAGGTGAACAAGAGACGGTAGTCGTTTTGGGGATTGTTTACCAAACCCGGATGTCTCTCAATGGCCTTTGGGTGCCTTATACAGGTTTTTGATTTTTTGTTGGTTTTCTTGAGATGTTTTTAGTGGTAGCCTTAGGCGCGTTTTTTTCTTTGGTGCTTTGTTGGGAAAAAACTTCCGAAGTCGCGTTTTGCTTAGCGTTCTTGACGGCGTTTTTCGAACTGTTCTTACTAATTTGAGTTATCGAAGCATTGTGCGGCATATTGACGAATTGTGCGTCTTAGCCTGACGTTTGGTC